CAGCGCACTTTCTTCGTTTGCACCTGGTGTGTGCATTCGAGTATTTGGAGAGCAGCAAGATGAAGCGGACGATGGGGGTGGACCTCAGTTCATGCTTGTTGGTTGACACTACCTGTGAAATTGTCGACACTTTGTCATTCTGGCTTGTAGACTGTAAGACATCCAGCAGCTTGAGAATTGCTGCGGAAGCATACTTGTACAGTGAAAGCCACGATCCCACATGGCAGAACTCGGCCAGAAGGTCTCACGCTGTGTTGGGTTGCTTTGCGCTCCAAACTCCGGTCGTCTGGACGGCTCCTAAGTCGTAAGATTGAACTCAAGCTGAAAAGCCGCAATCCTTTGCCCATCCTGGCCCATCCTTTTGTCTTGTCATAACTCATGTGTGTCTGAGTCTGTTTCTTGTGGAAACTGCCAGTCGTCGTCAGAGACTGTGCTCCCGCAACCTCCGCACAAATGTCACTTTGAGCTGACGGCAGCTTTGGTCGCAAGCGCACAACGCTTCTCTGGGTGACCTCCGAGGCTTAGCTCTGATCTGCACCACTAAGCCGCTTTAGATGCCGAAAAAGGCGTGTCGGTCCTCTGAGATTGAAGGGTCGTCGTAAACAGCGACACAAACAGCGCAGTCAATCCACGACAATCTTCATGATCGAGTCGATGTCCCACCTGTGGATGCACGGGCTACAACCTGCTCAGCTTCCTCGTGCACTGTGCCATGAATTGACTGAGGCAATTGCTCTCCGTAGTAAGTCTTCTTCTTGCCGTTGCGATAACGTCGAACGAATGGCAGTGTTCCCACCTAGTCGCTCGTCAATTAGGGAAATCCACCACGCGGACTACAACACAGCCTTCTCCTTTTGACAGAGGTCTGCCTGAACCAGGACAGAGGTGCTGACCCGGCTCCTACAATCAAACGGTCACCAAGCCCGCCACATGCCGATCGCAGTCCACAGCACCGACCAAAGCCTGTTCGACACAGCATGGCCCAGCACAGACCAGTCGATGAATCGTTCCCACAGCTGCCTCACTGACCTGCTCCACCTCGGACACATCGTGAATTGGAACTCTGCCACACGGCAGTATGAAGTGGGCTGCGAACAGAATGGGGCTCGCTCTCTGACATGACCACGTGTGTTTCTTCATGACTTAACCATCTTTTGAAGGCCAGGCACCTTTCGGCCAACTGCTTCCCAGCGATCTTTAACTCGTTGGCACTCATCACCGCGGTCGTAGCACTTCATCTCCGACCTTAGGATGGCATCCGTAGGATTGCACGCTAGTTTTCGGGAATCAAGCACGCGAAATATTCGCGTCACTCCCAAGGCACCGACGGAGAGTGGAAGAGCACCAACCAGGTGGAGGATTTACCCTTCTTTTTTGTTTCCATCCGCACCGGCCAATAAGCCTCGCAGAGCCTTGAAAAAATGCGATACATTACGAGTACGAAGCAAACTTTGACATTGCACATCACCGAACCAACCGTACCTCGTAACGAGGCCAGCGCTTGAGAAGGGCGAAGCACGACTATCAACACATTTCTTCCTGACGGGCATGCACATTGCAAGTTTTCTTGGGCGGGAAGCCTGTCCTGCCGGTGGAGTGGATTTCTTCCTGCCAAATGCAGCTTGGCAGGGCTCGACGCGGTCTCCGTATGTTGACTTTCGGAGCAGCGATTCCCTGTGGAGTTGAAGGATAATCTGCGGGCGGTTGAACGACCCCAATGCGGAGTACCCCACCACTCCTCTGCCGCCTCGACCCCTTCAGTGCTCTCTGCGTCTTTGGTAGCGGCCTGACACTGCAAAGGGGCGAGACAAGTTGTCTCCAGCTGCACTACACCCAGCCTTGTGCTGCCGATCAAACTCCTTCAGCTCGCTTTTCCAGCGCTCCTGCCGAGTGATTCAATGAATACCCATGAATACGAAGTGATGGATCATGCAATGCCTAAGGCGTCTTCAAAAAAGTTGCCTAGGCTCTCAAGTTGCCTCTTCTGAACAGCCTGACCTGGGGGTGCAAGTGATTCCTGTGGTCGTATGTGGAATTCCGGAGGTGGGACCCATCTTGGCAAGAAAGGGGTAAGAGGCTGCGGACTCCTGCATGGAATCCCATTGCTGCAGGTTGCCTGGCTTACCTTGCAAGCGTGGAGGTAGCGTCTTTAACTCTCTGGGATGAGTTCCACATGGATACGATCAAGCCACTGCTTGCGGGAACCAGAAGGGCCAAGCACTCGACTGTGAACTGAACAGAAACCGAGGCACTTTTGGATTCGAGCAGTCTTGGCCAATTCGCTCTTGTTCGCTTGCGAATCCTGGCCGTGAAGGGTTGTTGGTTGAAGTCCTCTGTATCCACTGCGTGCAAAAACTACCCTTGCCATCTCTCCCCCCTTTGGATGAATCAATTCAGACACGAGTGTCCTATGCAGCAGCTTGGTATTCGGGCACACAGTGGGCAGTGCGAGATGGATTTCTCGGACATACGACCGAGATTGATCTGCTACATATTCAATCGTGGTCCAAGAACTTCTCGAAATCTTGCCGATGCTCGTAGTCAAAATGATGGCCAAGACACTCGGTAGTCATTCGACCCGCTGACGCAAGCTGCCATGACCAGTGGTCCGGATCTCAGGTCTCTGGATTGCTAGACAGACTCAAGGAGAGACTCAATTGATTCAAGCAAACACAACGGAACGACGACTCCCGAGCGTCCAGCCGACCTCCCCGTAGAAAGCCAAGTCCAGCCTCAAGCTGTTACAGCCAGTGAGGCGCCACAGCCGCCACATGCCGCTGATGCACACATGAATACCGTGCCTTTGCTGCACACTCTTACGGAAGTGCTGCAAGGCCGTGGCGCGTAGCGCTTCTTGAGCTGCGAGTGATCTCCCGAAGCCGTGAAGTTAAAGCAGCATGGGGACACCTCAATCTTTTCGTCCTGGACCTGACGCAGTCTCACATGAAACGGTGTTTGCGAAGCAGCACACTGGCGTGCGAGACACCAGCAAAGTGCATGCACATCTTTGTAGGGTGCCTTCAACGCACCAGGTGAGGACCAACGATGGGCAAACTTGATGCTGAGGAAGATGGCCGAGCTGTTCCTTGGCGTTCTTATGACTCCCAAGGCCTGATGGCATTCAACAGCTCTAGAGTTCAACAGCCCTAGAGTCACGCGTCACAACCTGGAGCCATGCACCAGGTCAGCTTCTGCTTCCAGGATTCTGTGCCCACTGGGTCGCGCAGCGGACCACTCCGATACCTCGGACGCAGATATGTAAACTGAATAGGCCGGGCCTGCAGGTTACATGGAACATGCTGGAACTTTGGATGATTTCGCCGCGGCCCTGACGACTGTCATCTTGCGGGCTCAATGAGAGGAGAAGGTCATCTGCATTCCTCAGAGTCCATCGAATAGCAGCTTCGGGGAGGGTGGATTGCTACTGGGCCCAATACAGTTTGAGCTGCGTCACTTCTTGGCGCACAGCCTTCTCCAGGCTGCCCTGACCCATTGGAAAACTTCAAGCAACGGATCAGCAACAAAATGATGCACCAGGGAGTGCCGGAATCTTACTTCGTGCGGAGGGGACCAGCGGTCACGGCACCAAACACGCCCGGCGAGGGGGCTCCGACCCCTGACCGGTTGGAGGGAAGCTGCGTCTTGGGCCCTGGCGAAGCCAGGGAGGCCGTGCGAGGTCAGGACGAGCTCACGGCAAAGCTGCCACCACCCTGGCTCCGGCTCCACCGCGCTCTTTACACTCTGCAGAGGCACTAGGCATTGCGCAGCCCTCCCAAAGAGCCCTGCAAAGGAAAGTCACGAGGCAGCAGGGCCATTTCGAATGAGCTGTGACACTTCCGCATTCTCGACCTTCGACGCCAAGGCCTCGCAAGCCAGATCGACACAAGGAATGAGATGGCAGCATTTGCTGCGGTTCTACTGCAAAGACCATACACCATTAGGTCCCAAAGTAATGAAGCAAGTGCAAATCACGATGCTGGGAATGATGGGGCAGCCAACGACATCTGGGTGCGAAGGCTAGAAGGAGCCATTTGCTCCCTGCCATCGCCTTGTCTTTCTTGAGAGCCTCGAGAGCCTCTGCCTGCGAAAGCCGCACAAGAGCCAGTGGCTTGGCATCCTCAACGGCTCTTCCGGCTCAACAGAGGTCTGCAACAGTAATCAGCCACTTGACAGGACTGCAATGATGTGCAGTGCATGAGCATCCAAAGCGAATTCTGTATGCCAATGTCGAGACGTTCGCAGACTTGTCCTGAGCTATCCTGAAGCGATAGATCATAGCTTGTGCGAGTGTCTGATCTGACAGACGCATAAAGGGCAGGAAAGCATGCTGACTGCACCACCCGAAGGTCTAGTAGATCACAACGTGCACTCCGAACCCAAAGCTAAAACCAATGATTCGCCACGACCGAGCCATTGACATGCAACCGACACCTCCTTCGCGAACTCCTGGAAGACTGCATTGTGACACCTTTGCGGTACCCGATGATGCAGGCGGCGAGTCAAAAGAAAATCAACCTCGAGGCCGTCCGGGCTCCACACTGCCAGCCGGTGAAGGCCACAAGCCATTTCAGCCATGTGCCAGGCATCCTCTAAGAGGCACAAAGATGAACACGAAACCCGTGCTTCTTGCGACTCGAGTAGCTGCCTCGGGATTCTCGGTTTGTGTCTGCCCCACTCTCTTTAATGTGAGACTGAACGAGAAACGTGAAGTCGGTCTTGCTGCCAATGACGTGAAGTAACATGACTGGGCCGGTTTTCCCATGAAAAGGATGCTGAGCATGACTTCTGGACGTCTGGAGTCTTGACCCGCTGCTGTCTTACAGCACATGTGCAGGCAAGAGCAGCTGCGGCATCGAGGAATACAGCAAATCGCGAGCGACGTCTTCTCATGATTCCCTTTGAAGTGGGTCGCACGTGCACGATCCAAGCCCATTTGCTCAAAAAGACGCAGGGCATGCCCTTTTCACATCCGGGCACACGAATCTGAAGGACTTTAGCCTTCACGGAAGCTCGACTCGTTTTGTGCCGCGAGGTTGGAGAAGCCTCTCCTTTGGAGCGCTTCCCAAGCTGATTCCGCTCGTGCCAGGGACAAAAGGAGTGTCGATCGGATCACTCGGCGCATTCGGGTTGTTGGCCCGCGGATTCGGGTTCGGCTCGTAGCCTATCACGCTAACTTGCCCTGGATCAATGCCGGAATCGAGGATTTCTGAAGAAATCACAGTAGCAACAGTGGCTGCATTGTATCCCGCCAAAGTGTCGCAAACCTCCTCTGCTACGTCCTCCTGTTCCACACCAATCTTGAAGCACACGTCCACGGTCTGCGCCAGCCGACGCAAGAGGGAAGCCAAAGCCAGCCTCCGGCTGGCAGCCGCACAGCCGATGATGAGCTCCACCATTGCTGCAACCACAGAGCTCCTGCGCCACGAAGCAACACACCCTAAGCCAGAACATGCTAGAACTAAGATGCCACACGCCCTCAGCCCCAAAACGCACACTGCACCATGCAGAAAGAAAGAAAAGCTCCCGGCTATTCGAGCAATAGAGCGCTTGATCGCATTGGTGAAAGCTTCCGTCTCCAGTATCTGCGGATTGTCCACTTTGAGCTTCAGCGAGCCCTCTGCGCTGAAGGCAGCGACAGCCGAAACCGCTGCCGCTGCAGCTGAGGCCGCGGAGCCCGTCCCCACACCACCACCGGTCCCGACGCCCGTCCCAAGCCCGATCCCTAGACCGAGGCCAAGGGCAAGGCCACCGCCCACCCCGATGCCAACGCCGACTCCGATGGACGTCTTCTTCAAGGCCTGACACATTCAACTCTACATGTCCACAGCGCATCATGGCTCAGAGCTTTCAGGCGGGGGGACTGGGCTGAAGACGATTTCCGGCTCGATACCATGAGCCTGGTGTCTTGTTCTTGCTGGTGCATTGTGCGGCATATGGGGGCCGAAGTAGTTTCATCAAGACATTCTTGGCACCAGACAATCAAAGACCCTCTGAGGAAAGCCCCAAACTATTGTAAACCCAGACCCCATGCCCACTCCGTAACTCCAACCCTGTAATCTCGGGCTGTGAATCATTTTCAGGAACTGGAAAGTTCACGGACGCTTACAAGCGGGGTGCGCAGCAGTGGTTCTACACATGTTTGCCATTTTAGGGGTCCACGGTCCAGGGGTCCTGACAAATACCGTGGTGTGAAAAGTAGGTGTATAGCTTGAAGTCTTCCTGTTGCTAGAGGGTGTAGTGCATGCCAAGACAGATTCTTGCAACGCCAGTTGGAGCCCGACGGGCTGGCTCATGGAGGACTTTGGTACAACTATTACATCGAATTCATGCGAACCTGTCATGTCGTCACATGCTTGTCACAGCCCTGCTTTGGGCCTGACTTTCGACCTCTGGCTGTGGCGTCACCGGAGGCGATGGCGCAGGGGCACCACAGGTGGCACAAGTCCAGGAATCTTCGTCCTGACAAGTTTCCGGGCAGTCGCAGAAATCATCATTGACGTAAAGGCTTGAGATCACGCATCCACCAGGACATACAAAAAAGTCTTCTGCAAGTCTTCTCTCGTCATTGAGGCGACGCAGAGGAGTGACGGGAAGGACTTCCAACAACTGCAACGAGAACAGTGGACCATCACTGCTGTTCGCAAAGAACAAGACCGTGTCATTGGCAAAAGCCAATGATATAATCTCGAGCTTCGGATCGTCACTGTTTGGCACAGGATTGTTCACATTCAGCACATTGAAGTCTGTCGGCGTGGTAAAATCTTTGAAGCCATCTTCAATAACGAACGGAATAAAGGGAACACCAACTTGCACTTCATAGAAATACGATCCAGGTGCTTGAAAGACGTTTACTGTCCAGGAAGTGTTAAACTCATCCATGGGTGCAAAATTACAGCCTTGCAAATCCATCACAGCTGAAGTGACACCGGGACTGGGCCCACCAGATGCGAAAAATGGACAGTCCCTCTGCGGAATGACGGGTTTTGAAGCACCTGCAGTGCATGCAACAGACTGCCCACAATCGAGGGGGCAAGAACCACCTCCCACCAGCAGAATCGCACCAGAAGAAGCCTGCTCTTCTGGCTCGGCAGTCTTGTCCGTTCGACCAGCTAGCCAAGCCACCGTGAACGCCAAAACTAACACTACAAAGACTGGACACCGCAGTCTCTTCCACCAAAAATCTTTGTCCCGCTCGATGCCAGGCCCTGGCATCCATCCAGCCGACTGGCGAAGCTGCATTGAGCTCCCAGCCACCTCAAAGCGATCATCGCAAGGGACGGGCACAAAGCCGCGCATGACCCTGGCAACGCCTAGAAAAGTCTGCAATCACTAAATGGCTCCGTTCTGTGGCGTGCCTTTTTGTGTGATGCTGGTTTTACTTCAAGCCTGTCCTGGCGGAAGCTCTCACATCCATTCTGCTATTCTCGGAGCCACTTCAGGCTCTGAGCCAACAAGTCAGCAGCATTTGACAGTTTTCGGTTACGGAGAATATAATGCGCTGTCGCAACTCCGAAACACGCAAACAGTGTAGTTGACGGCTTGTCCGGCTTGGATCATGGGACCACTCGCTTTCTCCAGAAATGCTTCCAGCCCGAAGCCAGGACAGTCAGATTCAAGTTCACCCTCTAAGAAAACTGAAAACCACTGCTCTTCAGAGCACCCTCAGGCCTTTTGACGCGCCAGGCTGAAGAGGTTTAGGGCCCGGCAATGACAAACGACTCGCTGCGCTTTTTGCAGCGCGTGGCGTGCGGTGCACGGCAATATCTATCGAGTAGATCGCGCATGGCTCCTCCGGGCAGCATTGAGATATAATATGCCTGCGCACACCGGTTCAAGTCAACCTACCTTCCACGGAAGATAATGAGCACGTCCAAGCCATGAAGCCGCGCTTCACACATGCACGGCTCCTCTGCTGACAACGAAGGTCGGCAGGCGAGTGGCGACGCTGGACCACTAACGACCTGTGAGTCCAGGAGCACTATCGTCAGGTACCGACATTGCACTCGGGCAACCACTTTTCCAGTGCGTTCGAGGTCGGCGCGATCAGAAGGCTCTGCAAGACCTCTTCGTGCATCCTGCTCTTCGGTAGGAATGAGCACGTGGCATTGCCAATGGCAAGCAACTGCAATCGAGCCAATAAATCGGATACCTGCCTGGATTTAGTCTGTCTTGCTGATTTGGGATACCTCACCTGCTTCTCACACGACGGTTGTCTAGACACCGTCAGCGCAATGCTCAAGGCGTGGGCCTCGCTTGGCTTAGCCTACTGAGGCAGAGGCCTGGATCGCATCCGTCAGCTCCTCCAATCTCGGGTACTCGACATATACTCCTCATGACCAGTGGTGTGTGCGGCTGAGGCAGCAGAACTCGGTAACTTTTGCACTGTCCGCATTGACCCGACAGGGGGTAGCCAGCGCGCCTTGCAGGCCTGCTGCAAGGGCGAAGGCAAGCAACTGCCGCGCCTCGGACTCCTCGAGACCTCGCGGACAACGCAAAACGAGCTGTTGCAGCTGACATTTTGTCTGTACGAGTAACACCACTAGAGAAGAGCAACGCGACGACTACGAGCAGCAGCAGCAGCTTCTGCCGCAGGAATGACAGAACTGAGGTCGACGACGACGACAACGACGACGACGCCATGCCTGCACGGTAGCCTGTCTGCAGTTTCTGCAAGGCAGCTCCCTGCAAGATCATACATCCTCTTGATGGCATTTGCCGTTATTGTTAATATTGGGGTGGGTGGTTGAGCTTGTGGTTCTGGTGGGGTTGCGGTGGGATTGTGGTTGTGATCTCTGTGGCGGTTTTGTCTGTTGCGTTTGCTCTTGTGGGTGCTTGCTTGCGTGGTTGGGGGTTGTTAATGTTGTTGTTGTTCTTGGTGGTATTGTTGTTCTGGTTGTTCCTGTTGTTCTTATTGTTCTTGATGTTCTTCTTGTTGTTGGTGGTGGCGGTGGTGGTGGTGTTGTTCTTGTTGTTGCTAATGCTGTTGCTGTTGTCGTCGTTGTCGTTGTTGGTAGTGGTGGTGTCATGTTGGTGTTGGTGTTGGTGGTGCTGCTGCTGCTGCTGCTGCTGCTGAAGCTGCTGCTGCTGCTGCTGCTACTGCTGCTGCAGGTGTTGTCGTTGCAATTGTGGTTGTGTTGTTGTTGTTGTTGTTGTTGCTGTTGTTGTTGCTGCTGTTGTTCTTGTTCTTGGTGTTAGTGTTATTCTTATTCTTGCTGTTCTTGATGTTCTTGATGCTCTTGACGTTATTGATGTTCTTGATGTTCTTGTTGTTGCTGTTGCTGCTGTTGTTGTTGGGGGCACGTGCGTCTAGCGATTTCGGGGCTGGCATCTGCTGAAACTCGAAATTTGGCAGGTTGTTGCATCGAAATGGAATTTGCGTTGTTGTTTCGCATCGGTTTTTGCAATGTTTTCCTAAAATTTCCGGGCAGCGCTGTGCCGACCCTCGACCTTTCGCACAAGCCAGCTTGGAATTCCATGTGTTTTTGATATCCGTGCAGGTTTGGGGAGAGGGGGGGAGTTGGGGGAGGGGGCTGATGACGTCCATGCGAATGCGGCTTACATGTACTGCGTCCCTTTCTGCTCTGTGGAGGGGGGGATGGGGGGGGGATGTTGAGGATGCTGATTTTGTTTTGCTTGATGTTGATTTTTATGTGGAAGATAACAATGGCGATGACGATGCCTGCGGTGATAAGTATGAACATGACAATGTTGATAAGTATGACAATGACAGTGTTGCTCCCTGCTGCCCTTTTGGTTACGTTACTATTGAAACGCCACCAATACAAAAAACTTTCATTTTCTGGGCTCTGCAAACAAAAAACGAAAATCAACGCAAAAACTCGAGCAAACAACAACGATGAGCACTGCATTTGCGACACTTTCGCAAACACCACACCAAAACCAAGAACAAAACCACACAAACTCTAGATTTTCAGGCTTTTGACTAAACAAAGCTCCAAAACAAAACGACACCCTCCGCGGCGGCAAACGCACTTGCCACCTTCTTGTTGTTTTCGTTGTTGTTGTTGTTGTTGGTGGTGGTGGTGTTGTTGTGATTGTCGAAGTCGTTGTCGTTACGGTTGCGGTTACGGTTTCACTTGCTGTTGCTGTCGCAGCTGCTGCTGTAACTGTGTCCTATGGGCCACAGGCTATGGCTGTTGTTGGTAGTGGTGCTGCTGCTGGTGCTGGTGTTGACATTGGTGTTGGGTTCGTGCTGGTGTGTTGTTGTTGGTGCTGGCCATAGCGTTGGCGTTGCTGTTCCTGCTGTTGTGGTTGCTGTTTTTGTTGCCGTTGTTCTTGTTGTTGTTTGTGGTGGTAGTGGTGGCGTGGTGGTGGTGTGGGCTCTGTGGTTGTGGTTGTTGTTGTTCTTGGTGTCGCCTTTGTCGTCCCTTGTGCAGGGCTTCAAGGAGCTGTCTCTGCCAGTCCCACAGTCCGAGGCCCGCCATTTCGGGGTTCAATGGCCAAACGCTTCAGCGACGTAAGATCCGGGCAACCGGCATACGCTATGCAAGCCTCAGGAGACTCTCTTCTGCGTCGGCCACAGTGCAATCTGCATGCTCTGCTGCGACCGTTGGATCTCAGCACTGCTGCCCGCCTCCGCAAAAGTAGCGGCGCCGGCTTCAAGCAGCTGTCCCCTGAGATGTCGAAAACCTGGCCCGCAGCAGTCTTCGAAGCTCCGCAATTTCGCTTGACCCACACGCCGATTGGAAACGCGAGTCTGGCCTGCCAGAACCGCCAGGCTCCCAGCCCACACACAGATGTCGCGTTTCGCAGTAGTTGGTTCAGTTCCTGAGCTTTCGCACCACATGCCGCTTAACCGATCTTGTGGATTCTGATGGCCCGAGGTCACTCGAACCACAAAACCATGCAAAGTCGCCTTACCCAAGACTTTACGCTACGATGCCTCAAATTTAAATGCTGCTGCATGACTCAGAGCAGCAGCAATGCTCCGGGCTGCGTGAAAACGCTGAAAGGCCACACAGGCGGCCAAGGTCGTGACCTGGCATGAATGGAAGAAAGCAGCGACTACACCAGCCATCCCACCTTGCATCATCCGCAGAAGTGAGTCATGGGGCGCACCATGTCTCGTCCGCGAAATGATGTCAGAGCCCATGTGAGACAGGGCGAAAAGATGTCGGTCCAGAATCTGCCCGAGAAGAGCTTTGTAGGAATCTAGCTGAACTGCAAATCATTCGTAGCAAGACAGACATTGCACCCTGAAACTCACCGACGAAGGCCTGCTGTCTGCACTGGGCAGCAGCAGCAAACGAACGGAGGCATGGACCTTACGGCACTGGTCCAAGACGCCCAGCCCACACGGAGAGCCTCAGTAACGGCCCGAACCGCCCGAGCCGTCGACCGTTTGCAGCAGCTCCAGTGGTGAGCACAAGAGGAAGTAATGCCTGGCGCAGACTGGGCTCCCAGCATACTGGGAGATACAATCTTTGGCAGCTGCCTTTCAATGAGAGCTGTGGTTGCAGCTTGCGCAATGAGGTGAGCAGTACGCAACCTCGGGTGGTGCAGGTGCTTTAGTACCCCGTCTGATGAATGCGAGACCATGCAGGTGACTGTAGTCGCGATGCTTCGTCCTCTTACTGGTAGAAGTCCTCTTTGCACATCACTTGCTGGCATAGACAGGCAAATGGCGCGCACGTAGCGGATATGTCAGCATGCTGCTGATTTAATTTTAAGTGTGGCAACGCTGCTGGCTTTGCCATGAAACAGCGCACCACAAAAGAACCATCGAGAGGAGCCCACTGGGAGCTCACTGATAATCGAACTTGCACGAACATCACCGCGAGAGCAGCCACAAATGAGCTCAAAACACCACAAGTGCCATGCCAGCGGTCATCGAATGCATGCTCCTTCTGGTCAATCGGAGTTCCTCCGACTTAACCCGAGCTTCCTGCAAGTCTTCGCATCACTGTGGGTCAAGAAGCCCTTGGGGCGGGAAAGCTCTCATCATCTGCCGAATGTTAAGAAGTGCTCCACCGCACCCGGTACTCGCCGTGGTCGTCAGATAGACATATGCTTGGACGCGCGCGCGCAGTCCCGACTCCGCAGGTTGACAATCGAGGTGGAATGGCTGCACCCACCAGGTCAGCACTTTGCCGGAATGTGCAATTCCGCCTCAAGCCAACCTGGACACTCCCAAGACACAGAAACAAGCCGCCTAGCAGGCCGTGCAGCATGGGAGTATCGTGATACCCCGGATCAAAGCCGTGCAGCTATGCGCAGCTGGCCCGGCGGCAGCAAGAAGCACGGCACGTTGCAGCACCTCGGTGAAAGCGTCAGCGAACTCAGCTTTCGCCCAAATGGGTATGGCATGGCTGTGCTGACCGACGTAGCGTCTGTCGCGCGTCTCTCATGCCAAAGCGTAACGAAACCGACCACTCGGATTCAAACGATGCGCCAGTCAACTGCCGCCGTGCCAATTCCAAGACGGCATTCACTTATGCTGGAAACTTCTTGCTCTTACATCCGCTTGGACATGCTTGGAAGCTCTAAGACTCTGAGACGCTCTGATTCTACGATGCGCTTCAAGACATCTCTGTGCGCTTTCGCAATGGCAACCCCTGTGCTGATGCCTCACAATATGGCAATACTGAATCAGCAAGTGATTAGACATGAGGGTGGAGTTCAGGGTGTTGGATCTCTTCATCGCGCGCCTAGGAATTCCGACTTAGACCAACTCCACCTCTAACTCGGCTCTGCACGCGGCGCAATCTCTCCTTGCCAGGCTGTGGCACAAGCAGCCCATCCTGCCTTAGCTACTGGTAGCCCCCGGTGCCGGAGGTTGCCACGGAGGGCGGTGCTGACCCCGGTCTACACCTCTCAGGACCTGTTCTTCTCGGACACAGAATGGCCACTTCGGTCTGCATACGTGAAACGGCCGTGACAAGAGTCCTTCACCGAACTAGAAGCTACAGGTAGCATGTACAATGGAGAGCTGTCGTGCAAGACCGGGTGCCAACTCAACCCGCTGACCGAACGGCCAAGTTCGTTTCTCGTAGGTACATTCCTTCCAAAATAACATGAAATTCAAGGATAGGAGCGTTGACTCTGGGTGTGGTGAAATCGCGAGCACGCGTCCACCACCACAATTTTGTAGGACCTCAGCATTCAACACATTGACATGCCAATTGCCCACTGGCTCACAGCATCAGGGGAAAAATGAACAAGCAAGCTAGCTTAAGCCATCAAGGGGTAATGGTTCACAAACAAGCATGAAGGGAGCTGCCGCATTCGACTTCCAAGCTTCTTGCGACTGCTGCACATCCATTCCTCGCGCGCAAACTTTCAAGAAGACGCACTCATTACCTTTGAGTTTGGCTGAATAAACTTAGTGCAGTCTGTGTTTCAGGGCTGCTGTGGCGTCGCTCGTCATGCTGCATAGCGCTTCTGCCGGAGATGCCTTCCACTCGTTTTCATTTCTAGATGCTGCACAGACTCAGACAAAACTGTTGAGCAGAAGCAGCACAACTGATGGGATAACGTATATGACGCCGACTCTACTATACCACATCCAACAACAGCGACGTAGCCCCGGGCGTACGTAGATAGTCCACGCAGGAGGCGACGAAAGATCGGCCCTGCAATACTGCCTGCATATGATGACAACCTCGACACCGTGCTGCACCCGCCGCTCGCCTTTAGCACTCTCAGCAAAGGCCCGTTATGGTAGCGCATACCTTGGCACAACCCGGACGAAGGCCACGTGCCACAGTATGCATCTCATACTGTAATTGCTCCAGTTTGCCTTGCTTCAAGATACGAACAGTCCCGTTGTGCAGCTCGTCATCGCCACTTGGAGGCCCCGAACCTTCGGTCCACCTTAGCTGAGGCACACGCAGCATTTCCACGAAGCCTTCAGCCATTCATCAGTATGTAGCAAATTGCAGCACATCTCACCAGGTCAGGCTGATCACTGCTCGTCTGCCCCTCTGCCAACGGGTAGGTGGCAAAGCAATAAAAACATCACGGCAGAAACACGCTGCACGTCTCTTCAAAGTCTTTGTGCCCGTATGCCAAATTGAGACATTTTCTCAGCAGCTCATCAGCGACTGCGGATGGGTGAAGTTCGAATGGTAGGTGTGGCAGCTGCAGAAGAACAGGCGCATGATGCTCACCGTTCTCAGATCGTCGCAGCGGGTCGTCATCCCAACAAGATGTGGCGAAAATTTTCATCGTATTCGTCATTACCAGGAAGAGGCCCGGCATTCCACTAAGAACTACCCACCCTCATTGTTGCAGTAGTTTGCGTTGTGTATAATGTGGCTGCCAGATAAGCACGGGTACAAGCGGGTTGCAAACGCCAACATGTGACGAAAGCGCTGTCTTGGAGCTTGACACACGTGTACTGGTACCAGTACTAACACTATCAGCACTGCTTGTATTACTGTTTCTATACTAAGTACTACTAGCAGATGATGATGATGATGATGAGTCATGCTAGCTTGTTTCTTTTCACTGATCCTTTGACTTTCTGTTGATAGCTAGCCATTTTTGGTTGGTATTGATCCTTTTTCGTTTTGAATTCCTACCCCTAATAATCCACCCATGTATTGCAACGTTCAGCAAAAGTCTGCCAATTCAATCGGAGTCACAATAGCCTCTTGCCTCTCTTGGTAAATTGCACATTTACCATAAACGGATCACGGCTCGCCTGATAAGCTGCCAGGATGAGCATAGTGACATGTGTGTGAGCCACAGTCACCGGATCGTAGCCCACGCGCCCCTTTGGCCTTCGCTTGTGGAATGTGTGGAGCTACTTGTGGCTCGTCGAGCTCGTCACCTGCTCTAAATACGAAGACGTACCGAAGCCAAGTTGTGATCTTCACACTCGTACTGCAGAAGTGCCTGATTCTCCGTCGCTCAGCGTCCTTTCCTTCCTGGCAGTAACCGGGCAACAACACAACGATCAAATTTAGTTTAGCGTTCGGCATCGTGGCCGAGATTGACAAAAATACAGCGCCATGGGAGAGACTTCGGAAAGGAGGGTACGTATTGCTACGTCGGTTGCTGGCTGCAAACGGACATATCGGGTGAAGCTTCGCTGCAAGGAGGCGCAACAGCTGCAAGCAAAACCAGCGTAGCCACCCTTGCTGCGCGGTCTTCTTCAACGCATCCAGTAGCCTCGCGCATAGTTACAAAGAGGCACGTGTAAATCACAAATAGTATCGTCGCAGCTGTTTTCTCATCTCTCTCTCCAGGAGGGACTGGCTTCCGAATGGCAAGAACCGGCATCTTCAAGGAAAACTGCGCACAAAGGCTGATCGGCTAGTCTCGTCCTCTTCTGTCGTGTGCTGCAGAGGAAGCACTTGATACCGGTCGTGTTAGAATCCCAAACCGGGCTTCTCCCGAGCTGATGTGGCATCGACGTGTTACAGCCGGCCCTCCATGTCAAGGTTCAGGGGACTGGTTAGCCCCAGGTCCCGTTCACAAGCCTAAGGCGATGCGCGAGAAAGGCGCCAGCGCAGATGCCGCAGTAGCCCCCACCTCAGAAAAGCAGGTCGCAGCCGCATGCAGCAGCTCATTCTGCCCGACAAGTGAGCATCTTCAAGATGTCAAACTGTGGGCCAGATCTCATGCTCGAGGCTTGCCGAGGCTCCGCTCTGCACGAAACGATGTATGGCCTCGCGACCCTCCGATCCCAAGCTTCGCCAGTCTGCCTCAAGGCACGCGCTTCGCTGAGCTTGAAAGCTCTTGAGAGTCGAGAGTAGAAGGCGCGACAGAGCGCTGCTACCGGAGCCTGCCTTGGCTGAGCCACCCGGCACCAGCAGAACATCGAATCCAGAGCCTGAGACAGGGCATAATCAGAATGCGGCGCCAGCATCTTTGTGGATCGGAACGATAGGAACGAAAAATGTGGAGATTCCATGTGGTGGAACGCTCAGGCTCTTGCTGAAGGGCCCGGTCGACCTGCGCAGACGTCCTTCCCAAATGTCCTCCACCTTCAACCGGCCGTCAGGCTGATCGAATGGTGGCACCAGGCTCAATACGCCATGAGTGCTGCAGATCAGATCCGGTTCGACGGCCTGAAGCAGCTCGACCCGCACAGGAGCGAACATGCCTTGGTACGAGGGAAAGGGATCCAAGGGTTGTCGCAGTCCAGCACAGCTGCGGTCTAGGACAAAAGCTGCTTCAGCGACGAAGCAAGGAAGGGTCTGCAAGCACAGTCTCCTACGATGTCTTATAAGACACGCTGAAAGATGCGCGAGGCACAGAAGACGGACACTTTGTCGACCCTTTGGGGACGAGGCTTAGCCACTTCCCCTGCCCGTGCTGCTTTCGGGCCGAACCGATGTGCAGAAAGCGCGAGACGGCCTCTGCACGATGCATGTGACGGATGGACAATGCGAACTGAAAAGCCAACGCACCAGCCTGGCTGAAGAACCATGGCGTCTGCGTCAAAGCAACCTTGCAACCTTAGCACTTCAAGCCTGCAGCACTGAAGTCCAAAGAAACAAACGATCAGTCTGCGTCACAGACAACACTCCCACTCTCGGCTCAGGGCAACTGGCCGCCGGATGTGGTGCGACCCGGCTAAACGCGTTGAAGACTGCGACCCGAAGACGAGGGAGCTCGAATCCACTGTCCTGAGCACTTCTCTGACAGTCTGCCACGACCACATTCCAGTGGCGGTCTGCCTATCAGAACAGTCACCCTAACCTGCATGTGTCAGTGTCAGTCATGTCTTAAAGTTGCCTTTAAGTATCGGCATTAAAGCCCCAAGTGTCTTGTTGAGCAGATCCAGAATCATTCTCTCTGGCATCTAGCCTAATAAGATGCTACGATATCCACTACTTCTGTATTCAATCACACTAACTGTCCAAGCCGCCCGGAGACAGCTGGGGATCGGGTCGAGCCTCGGCACCTTGACTATGAGAGGAGCTCGATTCCACCTGCATTGAGCCTGCTGCCGGGCTCCGGGCCCAGCGACGATGAGCCTCGCTGCCTGCAGTTGCTCGTCCTGGTAGCTTCTTACAAACACTGCCGCGCAGTGCACAGCCGTACGAATGCTCGCTGAAGAACGCCCAAGGCCTAAGAGGAAGTGTAACGACAGCAATTGAAACAAATCCAGCCAATGGTCTTCAAAACGTCCGGAGGTGTCCTGAGAGCTGGAGGTCAAGGAGGGCGGAGCTACCCGTGGCGCTCCTGCAGTTTGTTTTTGCCGGAAGCACTTTGCACCTCTCGTGGAGTGATGGGCCGCGTGCCTGGACTCTCTGAAGGCTCTGCAGGTGGCAAGCACTGGCAACGGGTGAAGGGCAAAACCGCCGCTGCTGCTGCCTCGTGCGTAGCCATTCGAGAAGGCAGACGCGGTTTTGGCATCAAGTCGCACCTGCCCCAGACTTTTGTGACAAGCTGCGTCTCTTGGACTTTCTTTTCCTTCCTCCTGCTCTTTCCACGAGACGCATCCACCAAGTCACACATGCAGAGATGTTCATGGGAACCGTCGAGCCTTTCTTGCCTCCGGTTGAGACCTGCGCGGTTCACGGTTGCTTCAAGGAACAAAGTTTCTACTGGCGGCCTTTGCGGCTTCGACGGAAGCTTTCGCAGCTTCAAGGAAATCAGCGACATGCATGACCCGCTTGGCCCGCTTCGAGAATACTTCGAGGTCGAAAGAGGTGTGACCAATCATCTTTCTGCTGATATCTGCACCCTCAGTGCTCCTACCCATAAGCATAATGAATTCCACCTCTATTTGCGGCTTTCGGATTTGCCCTGCGTTCTGCGCGGTGAGGTGAAACTGGCATCTTGAGAAGAAACCAGTAACCAACACCTGTGGCACGGGACCCTGGGGGGGATGATGTATCCTGGCACTACGCTTCCCCTTCGGCTCTCGCAGCATCAAGCTGCCAAGGGGAAAAGCGAACTCGGCTCCGCGCTGCCCACAGGCGACTACAAGCCGAAGAAGGTCAGCAGATCGCAAGAGTGGCAGCAGGGAGCCTTGCAGCCTGCAGAACTGAAAGCAGAAGCCATCAGAAGCCGCTCATCGCCATGTTTCCAACTTATTGCCACAAAGATGCTCAATCATCTGCAGAAACTGTCGGTGGCCTTACGGGATCAGTTCACACTAGAGGAAAGAGACCGAACATGGCATCTCGAACTATGCTCTAGGAAGTCACCCTTGGTAACGTCACTTCAGACGAATACCAGGCTACAGAGGCCCGGGCGGCACATGACTCCGGCGAAGGATCGCAGGAGCGAGACCAATTCCGTTGCCTCACAGAGTGTAGCGGAGCGGTGGCGATGTGTAGCCAGTGTTGGACAGCATCTCATATTGCAGCTCGGGGTTAAGACAGAAAGGATTCCGAGATTCGCACTGTTGGGGATGAATGTGCTGGCCGAATACCTCGGACTGCAAGAGAGCCGAAATCTGTTGCAGTCGGCGCAACAGTTCAAAGTAAAGGTTTGAGCAAGGGCAAGTGACATAATGTGCTATTCAGTATAATGTCTCATTCAGTCTCGTGCATCGTGTTGAGCGCTGGCTGTCTCCACGCAGTCTGTATGAGCACCTCCCGGTAAGCGTGTATCAGTCGTCATAACACGTCTCACACTCAAGCAAAAGCAATGGTCTGCGGTTTTGAAACCGACAGCAAAGGGAGGCACTCGTCTCCGATGGCACGGAAGATAGCGAAGTCGTCACATCTTGCCCGGGATAGCTCGTCGCAGCCTGGATGCGTTGACACATTCTCAACACGGGAGTCTGCTGCACAGGGCCGGAGTCCATCGGCCACACTTCAATAACTGGCCGATGCATGGTTAAGATCTCCCTGAGAAGCTTGCTCTCGACAAGGGCCGTAGTTGGAATAGCCTGTAGCCTGCAGTCGAGGACAAGTGCCAACGGCATACTGATGCGTACAGATGTCTTGAGCTGCAAGTCTCATCCCAACAACGGCTCACCGGCCTTTGCAAAATGAATGAAGACCATGCCTGCTGCGAGCAGTGCTACAAACAAGCAGGAGTGGAAGTAAGAAGCTCACTGAGATCCTCCATGTCGTGTGCCTGTGGTGACGCACCAAGGTCGAGCTTGGAGTGGACGAAACGGCAACTCCTGCTGAAGCGATGACTGAGCCACATCCGCGACATTGCCATCAAGGCAGAGCTCCCGAGTGCATAGCGAAGCGCAGGTCTTCTGGCTCGCCTTGCGCACGAAAAAAAAGCACGACAGAGTCCTACAAGAACTCGTGCTGGCTTGCTGGCTCTTGCTCGCCAAGCTGCCAGGCCATGCGCACGGTTCTCCCGTGACCCACGACAACGTCATCACGCGCGGCAAAAGGTAAGGCCAGGAGTGATGTTGTTTAGCTGCAAGCCCCGAGTACTAAAATACTGCATGTCACTGCAGGGGATGCTCAATGCTACGCCATCCCGCACATGTCACCCCTCAACACTGGTCCGGTCGAGGTGTCCACAGCTTGGCCATACCATCAGTTTCGCATTCAACAGGTTCTCGCTTGCAGCAGCAACAGCAGCGACAAGCAGTCGTGGAGATGAAGCCTGTTTTTTTCTGGCGGATGGTACATGCATAGCGGCTTGCTTCGTTAGCATGCCAGACAAACCACCGCACCACGCTAGTCCTTCGGGCATCAACTTTCTGCCCATGAAGGCGGAGGGGTCAGCCCAAATATGCAGGTTCGACTTGGCTTCGGAGTTTTGGGCCGTCCTACCTCAGGGTGGCAATGCACTTGTGGCTTTCTTGCGTTAAAATCTCTCAGCCATCCATTCAAACATGCTCAACATCAGCCCTTGCAGCACGTTCGCTGATCATCCCGCAGATCCCAAAATCGTGCTGAAAACAACAAGACTACTGTCCATCTATCAACATCGAATAAAGGGGGAAGCGCGTGATTGAATAGACAGCTCGTTTTCATTAACGTCAGCGCACGAATTATGCACTGTAGGAGAGGCGGGCATTCCCGCTTTTCGGGCTGCCCTGTTTGGAAAACTAGCTCCCACGAGCATCGTCTGCACAAGCAATCCTTCATGCCGCTCTGATGGGTGTCGATCGCCTCATTTCCGTGTTCGACGGCGTTGAAAGGCACGGCTAGGTTAACCTACATGCACAACAAGTAGAATAGGTAGAAAAGCTTAGCTCGCATGAGTGGCCTCCCCGGTCTAAAAATACCATGACAGCGAGCACAGGCCATGCTATGCAAAGGCAGACAAGCGAGTCCTTCACATTGTTGAACTTCTCTCCCTCAACATCTTGGGAGCCCCGACGCCGATTGAATGGGTGGCATGGACAACGGACTGGATCGGGAACCTGCGCCACACACGGATCTTCTGTTCTAGTGGACCGCTCTGTTTTTGCGCAATAGATTTTCAGGCACAGCCACATGGTTGTTGAGCATCTGTGTTGTCCAATGTCCCGGCTTGCCACGGACCTGTTGCTTTGCTCAGGCGACCATCCTGACCTTAGAGTGCAGTCGACTTACTCCTTGACAGATCGCCGAAGCCGAGACCCCGAGACTCGTGCCTGTCAGAGACTCCACAATCGCACCTGCAAGCCAGGCGATGTATCAGCTGTTCTGCGCATCTTGCTGCGTTACTGTAAAGCTGGAAAGAGAGGAGCACCACGAGGCAGACAACACAGCAAGAGCGCGTGCAACCGCGCCTGAGGATATAGTCGTGTTCGCCGTGGCTCCGAAGATTTCGGCCTTGTCAAACTCCACCGGCCCATGCTGCAGTGCATCGTGCACCTGAGTCTCAGGTGAGAGACAACGTGAGAGTCGCGGTGCCCGACTGCCCGAGCCGCTCCAGCCTGCGACAGAAGCTTCTCCCGCAGGCCAAGCAAGTCAGACCTGTTGTAGGTCTTGCGCCTCACATCGACTCACTGACTGTGCGATGTGAACCGGGACAGGCTGAGTCCGGGCCCCGCACGAGAAGACAACCGGCGCAGGAGAGTACTGCAAGCAGGCCATCTTGAAGCCTTTCTCCACACCAGCTCAGCATCGACAATCAACGTGTGACAGCTTGGTCATGGTTCTATAGGGCATCACATACATTGCACACCACTGGCTCATGCTTTACATGAACACTTCTACAGGATCGGAGCTGAAGCAATTGTATATGCCAATGTATGAGCAATGCCCAAGTTGTACTCTGCTTCCAGGCCGCCTGAAAGGACCGTCTGGGCTTTTCCGCAGCAGCTGAGACAACGCTCGTCCACGTTGATGATGGTTTGACCATCTGCCTCTGAGGTAATGTGGACAGATGTGGACAGAGGAATCCTCGAGCTGAGCCTCACTTGAGGGTGAAGAGGCTCGGCCCTTGCGAGATTTCGATCCTCCACCGATGTGCCACCGTCAACAGCGAAAGCGCGGCTCGCAGCAGAAGAGGCTCCTCGAGGCCTGAGCTCCGACTGCTCTTCCTGGCACAGCAAAGAGCTGCGGTGCGGTGGTGGCACAGTGACAAAGAAGAGGCATGCGTATGCGCCTTGTAGCCCATCAGGGCGATCTTGGATCTATCTTGATCATCCTGAAGGTCCAACCTCAGCATATGCCCAGCCACCCAGCCGCTCAGGTGCACTGTCTCAGCTCGCCAGCGCGCGCCGCGCTCGCCGGCGCACGCCGAACCGAGGCGCCGGCGCCGAGGCCGCTCGTTCGCACTGCACCTCACGCACTCACGGCCGCGCCGGGGCTCACAAGAATACGCCCACGGTGGCCGCTGCTCATTGCCCCTAGCCGGGATCCTGGCCATCGTCCAGATCACAGCGCTCAGGTGCTCCAGGCTCTGCGCAACATGCTGCGAGGAATCTTGCCTGCGGCAAAGAAAACCATCCGAGGCAAGCACCGCACTCATCAACCCGAGCTGCTAAGTTCTTGGCACAGTCGAGAGCTGCTTGGCCACGGCTTTGATTTCAACCTTCAGTCAACTGTCAGCAGCAGAACAAAGGTGCGTCTTTCACAAGTTCCAGCAGCCCCCTGTTCCCTGCTCACTACGTCACACACCACACTACACTTCCGGATTGGCCTCTTGGCTGTTGCGATCTCGGCGGCGAAGCTTGCCTGAGCAGCTGGCCGCGGAGCTTCAAGGTCGCGCAGAACCGCTGCAGTTGTCGAAAACTCAATTAAAGACTCTACCGTGCCCGCGCGTGGAAACACAGCACGCGAGGCCAACACCCACCTCTTCGACTTCTGAGGTTACCTGCATGAGGGGGGCAGCGGCCGTGGTTCCAGGCTACGACAGAAACTGGTCCCAAAGCCTGGCGCACAAGGTCTTCCGTCTGAGCTTGGGATTTGCCTGGCCGCGGCAAGAGCTAGCTATGCACGAGCCTCTTGCAAATGCTGCGAAGTTGGTGATAAGCTGTCTGGCAGCTTGGGTCACCCAGAACCATGACAGCGGCACAGATGCTGTCCTCTAAAGTTCGACGGTACTCACCTAGGATCCACAGGCGAGCTCAGGTCCAGGCAAAACGACTGAAATGAGAGGCGGTTCCTTACATTCCGAGACCATTGCGCTCGGACTGCATGAACTCATCGACCTGTGAAATGCCAGAAGCCCGTATTGAACGCGTCTGCTCACACGCTGGGGTCGAGCCTTCTTGCGAACCTGAGCCGCCTCATGCAACCTGGAGCCACAGTCATGCTTCTGTCAAAAAAGTCTTTTTATCAAAGGTTGCAACTTCGCACCCATCCAACTGACACAGACTCGCTCAAGGCTCAGCACTGCTCACACCTCGAGTGCTCTGAGCTGCCTGCTCTTCCTGGTAGGCTGTCCGAACCTCGACAAGCTTCGCTAAGTCTAGGCGACGTTCCAACGAACCGGCTGCTGTCGCTCACGCGCACCACAATCACCATTTACCTCTTGCCTCCTGTAGCATGGCAGCATTGTGCGCCGCCACTGTGTTGGTGGCTGTCTGAAAGTGGGCTTTCATGTCTGCCATCATCCTGAGCTTCGTCGCAATGCAGCTCCCAAATCAGGCCAAGACGAAGGGCAAAGGCGGCTAAGGGCCTTGCCTGTCAACAGTCTGCTGCAAGGCCGTGACGTTGTTGTTGGTCTCCAGAGTGAAGTTGTTGACCTCTCAAACTGCTCGGGTCTGAGCAGACCTGCAACCATACTTCGCCGAGTCCGATCTCGGCAGTGCACACCCCGGCACCGCGGTTACCCCCCGAGGCCCCGGAGGGGGGCACGATGTATTCGAAAATATCGTCCCATCATGTGATCTAGCGGCAGCCAGATTGTTGATAATGGTTGACCTCTCAAGAGTTGTTTCGTTCGCTTCTTGACTGAAGACTTTGGGAAGGAGGAGAGAAGCTGTCCATGGTTTCACCTGCAATCGTCTTCCAGCCTCCTCCTGGACCATCTGAAGCTGGGCAATGCTCGCCTACCACTGGATCTGCGTTTCCAGCTCTCTTCAAGCCTTCAAGGCGTCATAAGCCTACTTGGGACCTTGTCGTGCTTCATGGAAGCAAACTCGGTGCTCATGCTGGTGACCTCATGGTTCAAACGTCACGACGAAGAAACAGCACGACGCGCAGGGCATAGAAAATCTTGACAGCCCTATCCTGCGACCAACTCGCCTGCCTCACTTTAACGAAGCTCAGGCTGCAACCACCTCGTTCGTGTGGGAAAGATCATGCATGACCTTCGCTAGTCCTGCCAGACAAGTTGGACGAAGCTAGGCACACCTGATCGAGCCTGCGCCAACTCAAAAAGTAGACATAAGCACAGGTGCATGAGCCATTCGATGTTCGTGTGGAAGATAGCACATTGCTGTGACACATTGCCACAAGTCCACATTCCAGTGCAAGATTCGGGATGTGCCTGTCTCTTCACCCCACAGGTCATCACTCAGCTTGTCATAGCGATTCTCAAGGCTCACCAGCTTCACCTTGCGAGTTGTGGTCGGCATCGATCCAGACTGTGTGTCAGTCACATGATGTCGATGATCACTTGAAGCATCGGGCTGCAGACCAGTGCATGTGAACCCTCCAAGGTGCACTTGCTACATCAACGGTGAAACCCACCTCGAGCTCCATTTTGAAGACATTCAGCATCTTGCTCTGCTGCGAGAGCCGCTTCTCCAAATCTGCCCGAAGCCTTGTGGCAAGAGAGTGGCTAGACCTGCGTGGCACCTCTGCGAATCTCCGAGGGCACGGCGAGTCTCCCACATCCTGGACACGACCTCGACACCGAAGCCGGCACTGATGTTCTGCAGCAGCCGAAAACGTGAGACTACTTGACACAGCATCCAGCCTAGCTCGCCGACCACGCGGTCCACGGTGCGCTGTGTCCCCTGCACGGAGGCGTCCATGCCTCAGAACGCGATCTTTGTGTCCAGTGATAAAGGCTTTCTGAAACTACTGGTACTCTTTTACAGGAAAATGTTGCTGCTTCAACTGACAAGGTCTTGACAACACGCTGGATGGGTTCTTTCCCCATGCATGCTTCGTGCGGAAATGGACGTGCACGACTTTGGCTCCCTGCGCTCTAGCTCGTAGCGGAAGACATCCAGGTCCTGCTACATGCCAGTACAGCAGATCAGCACAAGACTTCCGTAGCTTGTGTTTGCTGCCTGACTGACGGTTTAGGACTCGAGTATATACCTGCTTGAACTAGAAGCCCACCGGCTCCTTTAAGAACAACCCCTGACAAGCTCACAGTGCCTACGCGATCCCAAACAAAATGTCTGCTTCCATGCGTTCGTGTGGGTGATTGGATAGGTGCTGCACAGTCTGCTCGTCGGTCTGTCCGTTTCTGTGTCTCTCTGTCGTTGTGTCCATCCGTCTCTCCCCCCGCTGTCTGTGTCTGCCTCCGCCGCCTTTCCTCTCTGTCCGACAGAAACTCAAGGAGTCAAGAACTTGCTGAGTCATGTGTGATGCTCGTACTCGTGCACAGTACTCAGTAATGAGGTTGCCAATGTCGCAAACTTACATCCTGGGGCGTTCGTTCGCCTCCGTTTCTTTTTTGGCCTCCTTTGCCGGAGATCCATGCATCTGCCAGACCAACGGCAAAGCTACGTCAGCAGCGCCAGTCAGGAGCTGCACGGCTGCACGTCCGCCGCAGCATTGCAAATCTTCAAAACTTCGACGATACTGCGAAGAAGCCGAAGCCGTGTGGGCCGGCCTTGCCTTCCACTCCGTTTGGACGAACGCCGCTCATGGACAGTTTCCTTCCCTGCTGGACGCCATGTCGTTCCATGCCATACCAGCGGGACCTGCTTGCAATTGATGAGCATCCCGTGGAACCCACCGAATCCAAAAAATATCAACATGAACTGCGGTCATGTTCGTGACCAGTTTGCCTGTCACGCGCGTTTCTCATGCTGCAGGATTGCGGCAGCAGTTCCGCTCTTGTTGACCAAGGCTACATCTGGTAGAAGCAAGCGGCTGTCTTCCGACCAAGGCATGCGACTCACTGTGTAAGGTCCCGCCACGTGGCATGGTGATGTTAATGCGACCCGAACATGCTTCTCGCCAGAAACTTGCTTGAGAGCTGCATAGCGCTCCGGCATGTGATGAAATCCTGAGCGCCAACAAAGCCGTTGGATGGGGCTCACACCCGAGAAGGTATCCACAACAAGCCTCGTGGTCTGGGACAAGCAGTGTGTGCACACCTTCCCCTCGTGGAGTTCGCGCTCAACCTGCACTCTTCTTCGTCCAGCTTGCCAGAAAGTCCCACTCGTTGGAGTTGGAAGCTTCTTTCCACGCCTGCGCACGACTGCAAGACTGGTCTCTTTCAGCACGAACCCTGTGTGGCAAGTGGCTCGGCCTCCTCTAGGCATCCGCATCTCAAAATCGGATCCACGAGGACCTTCAGGTCACAGCTGAAGCTTCAGCTGCTCTGCGGAAGCTGTGGCCACCCGCGGGAGTCAAATCTGTCACACGCCTTGAGAAGATCGTCGAGAACCGCGGCTCGAGCTGCAGTTGCTGCTGGATTGCCTCTCGGTTACAGAACAAACATAGCAAACAGACCCCCTTGAAAAACCTCGACATCTCCCCCAAGGCATCCCAACATAAGACACGTGGTGTCGCCTCGGACAGGAAGCAGGGCTGGCCCTTGGTTCACCTCCGGTCACGAACTGAACCTACACCCCCTGTACTCCAGTGGTTGCTTCGGAAACACAATTTGTGTCGGAGCTGCCAGATCTTGCTCGAACACGAAAGTATAACATGCTGTTGCTTGTCTTGCTGCCGGAAGCTACCGTTGAGTGCCCTACACGTATCAAACCCGCTATCACTCGAGCGTGCGCACCCTGCAGGCGACGTAATTCCTAAAGCAATGCAAGAAGGATTCAGAGAACATGATGTTCGATATACCTACCTAAGCGCCTGCTGGTACTTCCACTGCTGATGCTACTTGCCACTGCTGCAGCCAGCAACACTATGCCCACCACGTGGTTATTTGCTCGTTCATCGGAAGAGTTGCTGCTGCTACAATCACTACCTGGTACCCTTACCCTACCACTGTGGCAGTATCCAAGAGGAGGAGGATGAGCAAGTCGGAAAGTCGTGACAGGGGGGCGTGTTCTTGCTACATCGCGGCAGGACTCGGGAAAACGGACGACAGCTTAGGTCCCAGTCTCAAGCATGCAGAGAGCAGGAACTGCACCTCCAGGAGCCAGGGCCGCCCTTCTTTGTCCAAGAGGACATCAGCTCCCAGGAGCTCGAAGCTCAGCACAGAACCTGGAAAAACCACAAGTGCAGACTCACAAGCATTCTAGAATGGTATGCCCGCCTGCATCGCTGGCTGCAACAAAGGTTTCAAGGAAAGGCTCCAGAACGGCCTGCAAACCGACGAATGAAAGCAAAACAGCGTCCAGCGCGCAGCTCCGGGACTTGCACAATGTGCTTCATTTTGCACCCTCAGGCCTTGAACATGCTCAACATCGCCGGCCAAACTGCTGCAGACTGAGAAAAGGCTTTGCTGCTCCTTCCCTGCACATCTTTGAAGACATCAAGTGTGCTGTGCACGTGTCGAGAAGAATCCGGATCGGCTGCATCATATGCTGCCGGGTGTGATCTGCAAATGAACTCTCGGCGAACGAGCGCCATGGCAGAGGACAGTTCGTGTTGCGCCACCAATAGCAAATAGATCCGAAACGTTAGCTTCCGGTCTTCCTCATCCAGTAAGACTGCAGGTACTTCGCGCTGAGCGACATAGTCATCTTGCTCTTCTTGGGCGACGGCCAGCCATGCGCTTTGGCAGGTGTTGGCCCCCAAGTGCACAGAAACGCCTTCATTCCGCTCTTTGCGAGCGTGCTTCAGGAACCATAGCACCCGGCTGTCGCACTCGCCATATCTGGACATGTCATGCGGAGTGAAAACTGTGAGAGGTGCCCATGTGCTTAGTCCACATCTCTCAAGGTACATGGCCAGTCGCTTCTTGTCGCCCAATTCTGCACAGGCACCGAGCGGGCGCAGCTCGAGCAGACCCCGGCGACTTCCTGCCCTGCCTTCGTCCCCTCTCCCTCGCTTGGAGGGCGGCCCCTTCCCAGGCCTCCAGGCCGACAATAGGGCCTGCTCACCGCAGAGAGCTGGCTGGAGTCCGCGAGCTCTCAGACAAGCAGGCAGGGCCCATGGCATGTTGGAGTGGAATGTCGCACATGCTTCCTTCAAGACCACGCAGCCTTCGTGACTGCACCGCCTCAAGAGACAGGGTCGGAAGCTGCGTTAGGTGATAAGTCTTTTCTGCTCACCGAAACCACGAAAAGCCGAAGTCCCCCCGCACAACCCTACATAGTGGCCCACAAGAGCTCGTGAACAAACTGGCCCAGGAGCTTGCTCTCCATGCAGCCAAAAAACAACCGACAAACCCCCCGATATCTGAGGCAGCACTTCACCGAAGCTCAGCTTGGAACATCTCGAAACCTTGTGTGAAGATTCTGCTTGCCAAGATGCGGCTCCACGACGACTCGGGTGCTGAAGCTGCGCGCGTCGCCATGCCCCACAGTGAGTCCGGACATGAACTACACAGCTACTTCAGTTACTTCTGTTCCTCTCCTACGGAAGACAGTAGGAGTCATTGAAATGTAAGGTGTTCTACAGTTGGGCGCTCTCTCCCATTCAGAAGCATGGCATGCATTGCCGTGACCACATGACTTTGAAATCACTATACTATATATTATACATGTATATATGAAAGCCGAAGTTGTGCGGAGCCTAGCCCACGGCTCACACGTGCTCACGGCTGCCACGGCTCCTGCTTCATGCAGCTCAACGAGTCGGTGGCGGTCGCTTGCCATTGCCTTGGCGGCTCGAAGAGTAAGAGAGCGTCTCTTTCAAGATCCAATCACCACACCTGGCCACTGCCTCAGGTCCCCACTTCCGCTCGGAATCATACTTTGCAAGCTCGATCCTGAAGTTTTCGATGGTCGCCACCTAAGCATGAAAAAAACAAGGCATCCTCCGAGCTTTCCGTTTCCAGGTCGGTTTGCACAACAGCATCTGTCCACAAACGTCGTCTTCTCCCGCCCAACGCTTGCTTGATGCACTGCAATGCTGGGGCACGCCTGCTGCTCCACCTTGTTTGCGGTGAGCCTAAGGTCCATGGTGGCAGCTTAGAGTCAGAGGACGTTTCAGATGTTGCATGCTCTGTTTTGGCAAGCAACTGACACAAGACAAGCACATCATCTGAAGCGGCGCACTGCAGCAAAAGCACCCTGCAAAGCTTCCTGAGGATGCTGACATTAGGTCGGAGATCTGTCCCGACTTCAGCTGGAGGTCGTCCTGTACTTATCGTCAATCCGAATGGTAACCCGGAGAAGCACCGTGCTGCAGGAAACTGTGCTCATGCGCCTGCACCTGCGTGACATCATGCTCGAATGCCTCACGGCTCCAGTTTAATGCTGGTTCACAGAACCGCTTCAACGGCAGAAAGGTGAACCTCAGCCCCTGGCAGCTGCTCTCCGAACAGTTGGGCCAATGAGGTCCAAACAGTGCCTAAGTCCGTCCAGCCACATCGTGCCATGATGTGCCATTCTCTCAGGTAATCTTGGGAACACTGGAAAAGTGTGAGGCTATGATACCCGGAAGATAGACAAATTCTGCTCTCGAAGTCCAAGCCATGGGCTGACGCAAGCGGACCTGCAAGAAAAAAGATCCTACCACAGGCACAGGCACAGTCTTGTTGCTGCGAAACCTCTCTTGCAAGCATCTGGAGCTCTGAAACATAGCAGCTCTGTGTTTGTGCTGTCCCTGCTGCCCGACGCAAGCGGGCAACACCTTGAACCCTTCACATAGAGGCACAGGTCACAGTGTGTGCAAAAGCCTGCATCCCGACAGACCGCAAGAACTAGGTCGCAACACCTCCAGGTTCGCCATCTGCACTTCATGCTCACCTCTGGCCACAGGGCACTCCAGAACGCACTTCGGCTAACTGCTGCCGAGCTTGGCTGTGAGGAAAGTGCGAGATCCTGCCGTCTGACAAGCTGTCTGCGAGATTTCACGCATGACTGGCTTTCATCGGCCCTGAACCCAGAAGTTACCCTGCCTGAACTCGTGAAGCTTCTAAGTACGCGGCTCTGCGTGATGCCACCGGGAAGTGGTGTAATACCTGCTGAGACGCAATAGGAGATCTAAAGGATCCCGAATGATGTTAGGGACAGACTGGGCCACTAGGCCTCTGGGAGTCCAGGCAGACATGGCAGACTGCAAACTCTTCGACAGAAACAACCAGGCTGAGGCACTCGGCGCTTGGGCAGCTTCTTCCAGCATCTTTGCATAGTCCTTCGAATGCAAGCAGCACCGCATGCAAACGTGCATAAGATTGCATAAACATGTGCCAGCTCTCACAGAATGGTCTGCTAATAGTCGGTGTACAGTGCCCATGTGACACCGAGGCAGCGGCAACCGGTTCTACTGTTTCGTCCAGAGCCAGATCCACGCCTTTGCTGGGCTATGCTGGGCTCCTCTATCATCGGCGCCTTCCTGGGAAGTTCTAAGCCCCGGGCTGCCGCGCGGAGGTGTGCTTCTGGCTTCATCGGTCCGCACCATCACTCTCTGATTCTGAGCGCTGCTGCGTGGACTGTACCGAACTTTTGAACTGCAATGCTACTGCAACTTGCTTGCCTGCCATACCTGCGATGTACTTGGTAGGACACGGCTGTCCAGTCTGCTATCTGCGGGCACTGGGGCAAGATGCAAGTTGAGGGTGCTGTCGATATCAGCTTCAATCCACTTTTCATCTTGGAAGCTTGAGAAAACATGAACCGGCTTCTGCAACACACCCGCCTGACATGACACACAAGCACTTTCCGAAAGAGCAGAACCTTTCCTGACACAGATCAATGTGGCTCACATGTCTTTGCACGGGCCTAAGTCTGGGTGCGTCATTAGCATGTCATTGGCCAAATCAACTAACAAAACGCCGATCAGTCGTCATTGCCGTCCAGCAGGGTGTCCTGCCAGGGCTCTTGCATGGAATTGGGGCCAGCTGAGGGGCACAGGCAAAAGTGGTTCAGACGCCGTGAGCACTTCACACGTGGCTGCCTGCCTTCTCATAAGCCAGCCAATACAATCTCTCGCCAGCACCCTCATCCGCAGCATCTTCGTGACAAGCGGCACAAGGTGCTCCACAGCAAACGTGCCGCAGCAGAAGTCTCAAGCATAGGTGTCGGTAGCAGCAGCTTGAGAGATAATGTGCATACAGCTGGTTCTTCCTCTTCGTGGCATTATCGTAGAGACTGCCCAGTAAACCAATGTAGACATTCATCACGACCACTGTCACCCCGAGGCTCAATGCCATGAACTCGAATCTCACTCCCCGGTGGTACTTGTCACTCCAGTCAGATGGGTCGGCGTCGACATCGCCATGGATGGTCCCATTGCGCTTTTCTACCCTTCCAGTCAGCTTTTCATTGATACCCTCCAGCTCATTCAGGTCGAAGTCACCCAGCACTTCGAGGCGGAAGATTTTGAGGAACGTGTCTAGCACCTTGTTGGCTCCGCCGATGTTATCCTCAATGGGGAATACCCTGTATGCCTGAAAAGATCCAGCCAACATCAGTGCCAAGAAGAAGAGGAAGTAGACGGAGGCTGGCCGGCTGACCGCATGAACAATGGGAACCACGCGGCGACCGATCTCTTCGAACTGGAAGAAGTCGATGGCAAGTAATGTCCATCGTATCAAAACAAGGGCTGAGATCATTACAGGATGAGCCTCGAAGAAATCAAAGCCAATTAAGTCCGGGTTGTTTAGGCAACTGAGAAACCGCATGCCCACATATACCGAGAACACCTCCGCCAGCGTGATCAAGGAATTCCACAAGGTCAGGTGCTTCGCAATTGCCGCGAGGAAGCTCGAGCATGGATGCATCCGGTCGCAAAATAACCAGAGCCCAGAGAGAACCCTGCCTAAGCATGCTATGCAGACCCAGATGCCAAGAATGCCGAAGCTCCACAGCGTTCTCGTTTCGGGCTTCTGCTGGATCTGCACCTTGTATCCCAGATGTGCCAACAAGACCACTATCAATACATCAACAAAGCTGTCCAGGAGCCGGAAGCCAAAAGTTCTTCGCAGAGATTCCCGCACGATCGCTTTGCCCAAGACCGTGTTGAAGCACTGGCTGCCTTGTCCAGCATCTACAAGGGCCTTGAGCGTAAGTGTGAGATCCGCATCTGAGAGCTCAAACAGCTGCACTGCCGGCGAGATGCTGTAAGTTGCCTCGAAAATCAAGGCATGCTGCCCACCAAACGTCTTGCTGGCAAACTCCCTCAGCACTTGGCAGCAGTCCCCTCCTTCCGGAAACTTCTTTTGGCTGATGCTCTCCTCAAACTTCTCTAGTTCCCGGTCCCTTCCGTTCTCGCAACCTATGACGCAAAAGTTGCGCTCCTGAGGCTTGAAGAGCTCCCACGGGCTCAGATGCCTCTTGTGGTCCCGGACTCGCTCCGAGTCCTTCCAGTTGAACATCTCTTGGACCCGTGCCTCCACTCTGTTCCAAGTCAACTCCAAGCTCAAGCTTCGCAAGAAGCGATTCAAGTTCTCCTGGTTGTACTCGATGCGAAGAAGGGTCACAATCTCAACGAAAAGCTGCGGGGTCAGTTCATTCAACGTCTGCACCCAATCCTCGAAGGCACGCTCCCAGCGTTGAATGTCGCGAATCTGCCGTTCCACATCCGCTTGTTTTGGATCTCCCGGCACCAGGCACCAGAACCCAGATTCTTCCAGTTCCTTCTTCGTCTGCTTCATCAAGCGCTCCGCTTCCAGCAGCTCTATTTGGGCGTTCAGACGAACTGTCGCATCGCTATGCGCGGTGCTCAGGACCTGCTCATGTTCCTGCTTTTTCTGAATGCAATCGCAGAGCACCCGCAGTCTCTCATAACTAGATGCTCCCAAGCATTCTACTTCGTATCTCATTGCCAACTGGCGCAAATCGTCTCTGCGTCTTTCAGCTTTCTGTGTCGTCAGGCCCAACGGCTGCAGTCTCTGCTGGTATTCCGCACCCACGAAGCAGCCTGCCGAGTCCTGACTCGCCTCCTCATCCACGTCGGAACTGGAGTCGAGAAACAAGGCGCGAGAGTTCGCGGAGCTGGCTCCCATCGCTGCTTAAATCACAGCTACATCAATGGACACGTGCACCCCGCTCAGAATCAAGCTGGCATACATCGCAACATTTGACACTGATTGCGCCAATGTGGCAACTGTGATCTCGGCTGTCAAGAGACTGGCTAGCGGTTTCAGCAACAGACGTGTCTTTGCGATCTTTTGCACGTTCACTCCACAAGCTCTCACACCGACTTCTCAGGAACTGCACTTGGTCGTCGTGCCGCCACGGCCACTCCCAATGGCTCACCTTCCCGAGCGGTGACGGGTGGAGTTGTGAGCTCCAATAGCAGGTGCTACTGACACCCTGCAGAACCTGACAAAACCTCGCAGATTTCTCTCCCTTCTTTCGCAAGGGTTTAGGTCTCTTTCTCTCTCCCCTTCCTCTCTCTCTCTCTTCCTTCCCTTGGGGATGAGTCCGCGAGCGGGCCCGGGCCTAGGCCCTTGCATTGCCCCCTTTTGTGTGGTGGAATGGGGGGCTTTCGTTCCTAGGCAGGTCTAGCAGTCTAGCAGGTAGAGTGTGTCCGTTGATGTAACCCCCAGGGCTCAAATCGCCTGTAGATCAGGAACAATTGTGCCCCAGTGTCAAAGGACACGCAATTCCGCTGCCCTCCCCGTCCTGGCACAGGCGACAAAGGGCTAAGCGGGCGAAGGCTCGTGCGCGCTTTCGCAGTGCGAAGGCGAGCGGCTCATTGCCCAGGCGGAAAGACTTTACGTTGCTCAGGAACCATCATTCTGGAGGCAAGGATTTTGGTATGAGCAAACAATGGCGAAATCCCAAGAACGAGTCGTACGAGTCGTACAGAAGACCCTCTTCCGGACAGCCGTCACATGGGCATGTGCCTTGGCGGCTTTGGAAGGGAGCGCAGTCCCCATCTCAGCATCGGCCCAGAGACGGCAGTGCTGCAGTGTTTCCGAGCTACACCCAGCTTCAACTGCAGCCGGAGCCTACGAGCGTTGGACCTACAATGGCGGATGGAAGCGAGGGGACACTGCAGATCATGCAACGAGCCCTTACGAATGCGAAAAAGGCGGAGCATCGAGTGCGACAAATCAATCAACAGCGAGAGAAAGCAGTGAAGCTCTGGGAGCAGTACAAGCTCACCCTGGAGCAGACGTACATCAAAGAGCACAGGAGGCACCAGCAAGACCTTCAACGACTCCAGAAGGAAATGGAATCTGCCCTGGCCAATCAGGAGCACGCGAGGGCCTCTGTTCGTGGAGCCTACCATGGAGAGGCAGAGGTTCCTACCGAAGTGGACCCGCAAGCCAAGGAGGCCGCGGCAGAGTGGATGGGCCTTCGTGGGAAATGGGAAGAAGTTGCCAAGTGCGAAATGGATGGAGTCCTGCAGCGGGCTATGTCGATGGATGTGAACATGGCGACGGCCCCCCAATCGGGGCCCGACTGTGGACCTGTTTCTGCCCCTGCACAGCAGCGACATCTACGTCGAGAGATGCTCACCCAGCTTTTCTCAGAGGAAGAAGTTCAAGCCATCCTGCAGGCCACCCAGCCCAAGATGTGGGCTCCTGGATCTCCGTCCTTGCCTGGACAGGCCCCTTTTACGACAGGGCCAACTATGCCAGGACCATGCAATGCCCCAATGGCAGCGCCGTGTGGGAAAGGGACACAGCAGGGCAGCACAGGACCCTCTACCCTGCAGACCCAGCCAGCTGCTATGAGGATGGACCCATACCCTCCTTCTCCGACGTTGGGAGGTCACCCCTCTTTCGAGATTGCCTCACCTGCTGCGATGCCCGACAGTGCCCTTCGAACAGCTATGCACCAACAACTTGGCCATGGAGGACCTGTTTTGGAACCGCTTCCAGTTCCGGAGTACACCAAAGTTACGTCGCCACGTCCGAGAGTCAACCCCTACGAGACTGGGCGAGCGGAGGACCTGATTTCTGCCGCCGACCAAGCTGCACGCAACCAAGCGCTGCAGCAGAGAATGGCTGCCACACGTGCCAGCCTTCAACCCTTTCGAGGTGCCGGACAATCATCCCAGGCGAGCCTATCGGATGCTACGACGACACAGGTTGGCCAAGCAAAACCATGTGTCATCAACGACGACGACGACTTAGATGGACTGGATAGAGTTACGGAGACGCCCCAAGGAGAGCCTGGCTACCGCATTTAGCCGTCGGATGTTGTCGACTTCCCAGTGCCGGCCCTGCGTACAGGACAGAGAAGCTTGCTTTCTCCTTTGAGGGTCCACCCAGTGTGAGCGCTGAGCCTAATGTACGGGACATGTGGTTTCAGCCCTCCACCTGGAAGATACCTGCAGAGTTGAGACTGTTCGCTACTCTGCCCTGGAGGCAGGTCTGTGAACTGAAGGCAGTATGTGAGTATGCTGAGAAGCCTGTACATAGCAGTGTTCCGCCAGCCACACCAGCCAGGGCCCCCTTTTTAAAGCAACGAGTAGACGAGTCACACTGGGTTTGTGTGTACCGTACTACTAGCTGCTGCCCTTTCAGCTTGACGGTAGCCCAGCATTGGTCTTTTGCTGAGGTGCCTTCTGGCTTCTGGAGCCCGTCTGTTGCTTTGCCTTTCTCCACTTCGCAGGTGTCTCCACAACTTTGCCCTGACACAACTGCGCGGACTGCCTCTTGTGGCGGCCCTTCTGCACGGGGTTCCCCTGACTTAGCCCTCTCAGGTTTAGTCTCCGACCCCCCTAGTGGTTGTAGGACTGTCCGAACAGCAACTGCAAGCGCGTGCAGACATGCTCTGACACTGCTCTGTACGAGAGGAGCCAATTCTGATATGGTGCTGGCGCCTAAAAGTGGTATCGGTGGCTCTGGGACCACTGCCAGGTCACAATCAGATTGGTATCCCATCCTTACTTTTCTGCTGCAAGCGGGGAGGCACTGGGTCGCATTCTTCCGGACCCTTATGCTCCTGCCCAGTTTTGTTCTGCTGTGCATTTTAGGCCGTGCAATTTTGCAGCCTTTTGCTCCTTTGAGAGCTGCCGGAATGCAATCCAAGCCCTCCCACCGGCAAATACTTCTTTGCTTCTGCGTGGCATCTGCTGCCAGCGCACCAGTGCTTGACTGGAGAAGGACAACCTCCTGTCGATACAGCAAACCTATGGGGGGCTGTCAGCCACGACCAGGCCCGAGTGCCACCTGGCACAAACTGTGGGCGGTGCTCCTCTTGGCCCTTCCGGATCTTATTTGGAGCACACCACCTGGACTTCCGGAGCTTGAAGACGCGGGAGAGCGAGCTGCAGCTCTGAACAGAGTTCGGGAATTCCCGCCAATGCCGGATCCTATGGCCGATGCACCAGGCGCTCCGCCTACCCATGCCCCAGACATTGTGCATGCGGCACTAATACCTCCTTATGGACCACCTCCGCCTTTTCCTGTTCGGTGGGAGTTACACGTCCATCCTCCTGAAACAGCTCCGATCCCCCCACGAGGAGTGCACAGCCTTGGTTTTGAGCCCAGGATACCAGCCAGAGCCACTGAGGTTCCCACTAGGCATCCCATGTGACGTCGAAGACCTGCTTGATGAAGTAGGCCGGCGTGTCGTGCACACCAAGCTTGCATTTGCCGACCGATTCGTTGCGGTGCGGCCCCAGCCACTCCCGCAAGTCGCCACTGTTCTTGTCGCACCGGATTGGACAGCCTATGGGTCAGTTGTTGCGGTTTGTCTTGACTTGAGGGACACCGTCCCAGGAAGCACAGGTCCTGTCACCTCTGCTTATGTGACCAGGACATCGTGTAAGAGCGAGATTTGCCGCCAAGCTGGGATCTACGGAGCTAGACCTTGTAAGGTGTACATAGGTACAGAGCCCGAGCCCCTCGAGGAGGATGAGAGCATCTTCCTTAATACAGGTTGTTTGATAACGCTCGTTTGTCGCGATGTATGCCCCTTCTATGCGAACGACCTGGCCTACAGATTGCAATTGCCAGACACGTGGCCAGATCCTCCTCTTGAGCCGCCGAGCCAACCCAAACCCGCTCTCCTTCTCTTGCATCACTCCGGGAGGTTTTTGTTCCGTCCACAAGCTAGCCAGCTGCCCATAGACGAGGCCGCCGTGAGGTTTGTAGGCATACAGCGATCTCAGGCAGACCTGCATGTGCCAGCAGGTGAAGGCTGCAGTCACCTGCAGCATCTCGGGGTTAGCGTTAGAGGGGTCATTGCTGTGGTTGACCGCAACCTGCTGCCGCCCGATCAGCCTCAATACCTTGTTTTCCTTGACTTGCGGCAACTTGCGCATGGTGTACGTTTCCTAGTTTTGACCCGCCCGTATATCATGCGAGACGAACTTCGAAGGCTTGCAAATCGTCAGCCACCCCCAGCATGGCGCCTCCGCGTCCTCGGTGGGCGCATGCGGCGTACAAAACTAGAGTTCCAAGAAAACGAGACCCTAGTTTTTGGCTTCGAGTACCACATGGACTCTGACGAGTCCGAAGAGTCATTCTCACCAACAACAGACGAAGAGGACTCGGACCAAGAAGAAGATGAGTCTTCTGATAGCTCTGCTGGAGACGAGGCCTTGTCACAGGCCACCACCAGGTCGAGAAGCCGAACAAGGCGACGGAGTGCCTCGCCTAACCAACGAAGAGACCCATCTTCTGACCGGTCCTACCAAGGTGCTGTAGATAAGTTTGCCCTAGCTACGAATGAGGCATCGGCCCAAGCTTGGGGTAAATTATCTACTCCTGCCGTAGAGCCCCAGCCTCCAAGTGTTTTTGATGTAGGGTGCCCAACTCCGCCCAGCCTTGATCGGTACCAAATCGGTGAAGCCACCCTCTCAGATTCTTGCCTTGGCAAAAGCTTGCGGCTGAACGCCGAACCCCATGTTGAAGGTCCCGCTGCACGGAGTGCTCTTGATGCCCTCAGGCATGCCACTGCGACTCTGGGTGGTGACTGGCCACTCACTCCGATAGAGATCATACAAGAGCAACCTCAGCCAGCGGATTCCCCGCCCACTTCAGAGGAAGAAGAGGATGTTGCCTTCAAGTGGGTTGCAGTAGCTGTTCTGAAAGTCGGTTTTGCCCCTGAATTCTTGACGGTAGTCCTAGGTTTTCCAGGTACAGATCGAGAACTGTGCCAGGCAGTCCAGGCGGCGCGTCATCCGGAGGATGCCCGACTGTTCCCACATCTCTTCACAGCACTCCCCCAACCAGCTGTAGGCTGCTTTGTTCTTGTGGCCAACCCTGCATGGCACCCGCAGGCTGTGACTGTCTGCGTCAACACCCAGCAAGTTGATGGAAGACTTTTTGCAGCAAATTCCATGCACTATGCCACCAGGACACAGCTTCTGCATCTCGCCGGTTTCACTGCAGCGTCGGATCTTCAGGTCCGTGCCGGTGACAGTCCCGACACAATTGCTGCTGAGGGATCTGACAACCTCTTTCCCGGTGTCACCGTCAGCATCTTCCCCCCAGATGTGACTCTTACACAGGTGCCTGAACTTGAAGACCTCCTTACCACGGGAGCTCACCTACAATCAGAACGTGTTCTTCACACCAATGTTAGCGATGCTTACTGTGTGGTCTGGCAAGACAGGCATCTCATTTACGAGATTGACCCGCGACATCCTATGCGCTACAGACAGGACCTTGCTGCCCAGCTAGGTGTTGATCAGAGCCAGCTTGTCCTTGTGCCTGCCGCCCCCCGTGCAACGGACGTTGAAATTCAAGGCAGACAGTGCAGAACTGTGCTAGCTGCCTTCCTGAGGTCGGATTTTGAGGGCGAACCCCTTGCAGTCGGTGCTATAGTTGATTGTAGGCAGCTTCTCAGCGGATGGTGGGGACGTATTTGCCCACGAGGTCTCCTTGACATAGGCACACTTGTCACTCGGCTTGATGCAGAGGCCCCTCTGCTGTGGAGGACACATGTCGATGGTGCCCCTGAGCGCTTTGGCCATTTTCAGGTAGATCCAGGTCAGCTTTTGAAAGCAGAGTACATACCGGCAGACCCCCAACAGCCTTTGCCTTCCGAGCAACACCACACCGGTGCTGAGGTAGGCGGTGAATGCGGTGAACAAGCCCAAAATGTGCCTGTTGATTTAGAAGCTGACAGCTGGGTGCCAGATTTGCCAGCTGATGTTTTCACAGCGGACTTTTTTGTATACGCCCAAGATTTCAGGCCGGAGAGGGTCCGTGTTACCCTCGAGGCCCCGGGTTCCCTCTACCACGCGCACCAGGCTGTCAATGCAGGACGAGACAATGCCAGCAGGAGACGCGCACCGAGACTACTCGAGGTCTTTCCCCAACCTGATCCAGAATTTGGTTTGCTGATTGCTGTCCCGAGCTGGTCTTTGCCGCGTGTTCCGGCCCTCTTCGATGCTCGGTTAGTAGGAGGCGGCATCTTTTGCTGTCTCTCCGAGCCACAAACAACTCGAGCGGCACTTCTGCGACTTGCGCAAGTATCTTCTGACGCTGTGCGCATTTTTGTTCAAGACCAGCCTTGGCCTTTAGAAGATGACCTGCCGGTTATCCTCTCAGAAGGTGCGCTTGTCACGATTGCCAGCACGACCGTTGTCACGATTCAGCGTGCCACCCTCCCCGATATGCTGCTATCTCATGACCGATGGGCCGGTCAAGAGCATGTTCCTGCAGACGCGCCCCTCAGCTTGATTGTGTCACCTGCAGGGCCTGCACCCTTTCAGCTCCCCCTCATTGATGTGCACCAAACTGCTGCTGACCTGTTACTCGCGAACCCGAGCCGGGTCCGCACTCAATTGGTGACAGCACCAATATCCGGATACTGTTTCAAGGGGCATCATGTCCAGGAAGTCACTCTCGCAATTGCTGAGAACCGACGGCCCGATATGCATGACCCAGAGCTGCGATCTGGCTACACCTTGTAGCTGCTACAGTTACGGACGACGCACGTATCCTCTTGCATGTGGCTGAGCACTTTCAGCAATTGTGCCCAGTGGGGCACCAAGTAGCAACTGCGCGTGCTACTCCACCTCACGAGTCAGAGACAGGCAGCCCGACCTTCCAAAACGGTGAGGTTGTTGCTGTCTTTTTCCAAGACGTTTATGGTCTCCCACGACCCTTAAGCACAGGACACGATTCAGAGCACGAGCCCGACAGTGAGTCGAGCCCAGGTCCGTCTCCAAGGCAAGCCACGGAAGCCAGAGGGTACGGAACCCAAAACAAAGATCCTGCTGCATCAAGTCGACACGCTGTTCCAGATCCCTCTGCTACGCAGGGCCGCAGCATTCCAGGAAACCGCCATGATGGAGCCACCTGCGTCCCCAAGGCCACCAAGCCACCCAACAGCCTTGGACTCTGTTGCATCGTTGCGCTCGCTGGAATTGCCAGTATAGCTGCTATCCAGCAGTCCAGGCAAGAGGCTGCTACCCTGATCACGGTGTTCTTTGCGATCCGTTTCAGGATGAGGCCCCTTGCCGCCACTATTGGCCTCCTCTTGGTTTTGCCTACTGCCACGGAGAGCACGACAATCGTCTCTGTGAGTTTTGGGCGGCAGCACGCCAACTTGGTTACAGCACACCAGTTGGGGATGTCCTAGTGTACACAGATGGGTCCTATACTCCGGCTGCACCAGGAGGCACAGCCAAGATTGACCCTCACGCACCAGCCATAGGCTTTGCTTTTGGTCCCGTCACGCAGATCCTCGACTTCGGTGGAGCACAACTGTCTCCATATCGAGTGCTATGCGCTAGTCGCAGCGGCGCTTATCAGCATCACGTCTTTGCATCATAGGTCATAGGACGTGTCACTTCCTGTCGGATTGCGTCTCCGCGATAGATGCAGCTGCCGGCAAGAGTGGGTACGCGCTGTGCGGCATCCCACAGACCATGAGTTCGCTGCACACCCTTAGAGCTCAATGCTGTGCCCTCCCGGATTCGCACGGGCACATCCCGCCATGAGGGTATTTTCGGGAATGAGCTGGCTGATACTTTCTCTAAAGCAGGCTCAGCAGCCAAAGAAGCCACCCTCGGTGCCTGCCTTGACATTGACACTCTTCTCCTCTTCTGGTTAGATTGTGGAGGCCCCAAATTACCGTGGGCGGCAACTGTCATCGACAGTCTCCGCGGCAACAAAGTCATGCCACCCCTTAACCAGCAGGAACATGCGCACCTTCGTCACTCTGCTGGACTGGGTCCCAAACAGATGCTTGCCCCATTCCTGCCTCTTGGAGCTTTTGCACCTGAGCCCCATGGTGGAGTACAGGACCCTGTGTTCAAACATACACTGGTCCTCAACCTAACAACCTTCAATGTGCTCTCGCTGGGTAAACCTGTCGATGCAAAGCAAGAGCCAGTTGGCTCGACAGGCCTCGCGTACCAGCCAGCTAGGGCGGCAATCCTAGCCGAACAGCTGAAGCAGCATGAGGTGCACGTTGCCTTCCTTCAGGAAACGCGTGCTGAGGGAGGCCAGACAGTTGCAGGTCAGTACATTCGTTTTGCTTCGGGAGCCACTCATGGTCAACTGGGCACCGAGATATGGTTCCGGAAAGGACACCCCATTCTCGAAGCACGAGGTGCTGCGACTGAAGCCACTTTCGAGCCTGCATCCTTTGTTGTCCTTGTTGCCGACCCACGCAGACTGTTCGTGCGCTACTCTCATGGGGCGCTTTCCCTACTTTTTGTAGCACTGCACAGTCCACACAGGGCTCTCATTCGGAAGCATTGCAGGCAGTCACTTGTACTGCTAGGAGGGGATTGCAACGCATCTGTCGGGTCAGTTGTTACCCGGCATGTGGGAGACAGGGCTGCCGAGGATGAGGACGAGGCCGGCGAGCATCTCCACAATTTGCTTAAGGTTTTCGACCTCTGCCTGCCGGCCACGATGTGGCACCTCCACAAGGGCCCCTCTCACACCTACACCCAGAAGAATGGGGGTCGCCAGTGTCGACCAGACTTCGTCGCCATCCCCCTTGAATGGCTACATGGCCAAATCCAGTCCTTCTGCTTGCCGGAGATTCAGGCAGCGCATGCTGCCCCAGACCACATTGCTGCCGCCGTTCAGGTCAGTGCCCATTTTACTGCTGGCGACATTCCAGGTCGACTCAAACGCAGACCCATCCGAGCCACTGATGTGGTTGACCCGGCAAACCGTGAAGCCATTCATGCTGCTTTCAGTACCGCTCCTGCAGTTGGTTGGGATGTCTCTGTGCATGCTCACGCGGCCATTGTAGCGGACCACATGCAACAAGCCCTCCAAAACCTTGGCCAGCAACGCGGGGCGCGCCCCCACCATCCCTACCTCACACCCACCACCTGGGAACTGCAAAGGCGAGTGTCCAGCCACAGGCGTGCTCTACATCGCCTTACCCATAGGATTGCAGTCGCTGAATTGGCGACAGGCTTCCGTGCATGGGCGAATCGAGTCACTCTCAGAGAGGCTGAGACCCCAGGTAGACTTTGGATGCTACAGGCCAAAGGGGCTTGCAAGGCTCTATACCAAGAGCTTCAGCAAGGCTGTAAGGCCCTCAAAAAAGCATGTCGCACTGACCGTGAAAGCTATGTGGCACAACTCGCCCATACCCTATCCACGGCACCAACTAAAGAAGCTTTTGCGGCATATCACCGTCTCCTGGCGCATCGTAGGAAAAAGGCCTTTAGACTGGACCCCTTGCCGCAAGTCGCTGACTCTAGGGGTGAGATCTGCCATGATGCGGCATCTGCCCGAGCGCGATGGCGTGAGCACTTTGCAGGCTTAGAGGCAGGCAAAGACACCACCTTCGGCGCTTTGGCGCAGGCTGCAGAGGTTTCGAACCTTGATCATGCCTTCCCGCATCCTCCGCACATTGCAGAAGTTCCCAGCCTCCCTGACTTGCGAAGGGTGATGGCAGCTACCAAAGCAGGTAAGGCCGCCGGCATGGATGCCATCCCACCGGAGCTCAACAAATGCTTCGCACAAGATTCCGCAACTTTGCTCCACCCCCTACTCCTGAAAATTCTCTGGTCAGGGGAAGAGCCTGTCGGCTTCAAAGGCGGCCAGGCTGTGGTGCTTTACAAAGGACGCGGCCTGACCACTGAGTGCTCATCATACCGGTGGGATCTTGGGCTAAGGCCTTCCACCAGAGCGTGCGCCCCTGCATTCGGGATGTGTTCGAAGGGTCTGCACCGAGCCTCCAAATCGGAGGCCGCAAGGGATGCAGCACCACCTACGGCACGCACATTCTGCGGACCATCACTAGACGAGCTACAGCCCGAGGTATGCCGTGCTTTACACTGTTTGCAGACATATCTGCTGCCTTTTACAGCACCATGCTGCAGTTTGTTGTGCGTGCAGGCTGCAACTCGTCCCCCCAAGAAATTGCGAAGTCTCTGGAAGGCCTTCAACTACCGGTCGAGGTAGCGGACGAAATCCGACAGCTACTGCTTGAGCCCACAGCTCTCCATGCTTCTGGAGCTTCGGCTTGGCTAGAGGCTCTGGCAGCAACCTTTGGCAGTCAGAATTGGTTCGTCCTGGCCCAGGACGGGATCCCAGTGAGTACAAGTCGGGGAACCCGTCCCGGAAGCTCCTGGGCCGATGTGCTCTTCGCTTTGCTGATGCCTCGAATTTTCCAGAAGCGTGATGAGCTCCTGCTACAACTCCAAACTCCGGCGGTGAAGCATCGGGTACCTTGGGATGGTCGCAAGACCCTGGCGCCATGCAGTGAAACCGCTGGCCACCTTGACATTGACGAGGTAACTTGGGCAGATGATGTAGCGATTCCCAAAACATGCAAGACTGCTGACGCAGTTGAAGCAGCTCTGCGCACCGAAGCGACGGCGCTGACAGAGGCCTTCTACACATATGGCTTCCGGCTCTCGTACGGGGAACACAAGACTGCCGCACTCGTTTCTCTGTGTGGTGCCAGGAGCCGGGATGCCAAGAGGCGACTGTTTGGTCCACAAGGCCTGCGAGGGCGCTTGCCCATCCTTTTTGAGCACCTCCCTACCATGCAGCTGCCACTCCCGCCGAAGTACAAGCACTTGGGATCATATCAGGCCCCTTTTGGAGCTGTGCTTGAGGAAATCAAGTATCGCGCTGCACAGGCGCGAGCTGCTTACGGAGAAGCACGCCGCAAAATCTACAAGCCCAAAGGGATCCCGTTAGCCAAAAAGGCAACCTTCCTTGCAAGCACTGTTCTACCCAAGCTGCTTTGGCTCGTCTTGCAGGTGTTGGCCCACATGCCAGTCAAAATGAGGGCGACCGTCACTGTGAGGTATGTCTGCCATGTAAGCGAAGTTTCCCGTCGAGGACATCATGGGCGGGTCACGCCGCTCGCTGTCATGGCTACAGAAACCGAGCTTTCCTGCTACCGCAGGATTCTACATGTCGCTGTTGCGGAAAAGCCTACTCTACAATAGGTCGTTTGCGTAGACACCTCACAGCATCCGCCCGATGCTTGACTAACTGGGGTACCTTCGTGCCCGCTACCCGAGGCGAGGCCCCCGAGAGACACCCTCAGGCACCCCCAAGCCTTTGCACTGGCTCCACTCAGCCAGCACCGGGCATGGACTTCACCGGAAGTACCAATGAGGCCCTTCTTGAAGAATTGAAGGTCTTAGAAGGTACAGATGAAGCTACGGTTTGGGAAGCCATCGAGAGCTGCATTGAGCCTTTGGGCACACTTCGTGCCACTGTGGAAAAGTGGGCCCGAGATGCACCAATCAGTCCCTGGAAGAGGGAAACGGCTCATAACATGCTTCTCCTCTTGGACCCTGAGTTGATCGCTGACTCTCGGCAGCCCGGCCGGATTAAGGTTCCATTAGGCAACACATGTCCTACCTGGTGTGCATTGAGCGGTATCCCGACAACAAGCTCCGGCGACTCCTTCGTCACTGACCTAGTTGAGCCACCCCCGAGCATCATGTCACCGCATGCACCAACCAGCATCCCCTTGCGTGCTGCCACAGCTTATGCTACGTGGCTTGAGGCCGCATGTGCGAAGTGTGCGCTTTGTGCCACACTTGCAGCAAGCCGTCCTGTCAGACTCAACTGCCCTGGTCTCCAGCCTTCTCTAGGCCCTGCTGGTGAATGGCTGGCTTCCTGTGGTTTTAGTTTCGATTGTCGCGGGATGTCTACCGCTGCTTAATGTTTCACCTTTTTCATTTCGTGAGTTGAATTCAAGCAAGGCGAGCGTCCGGACAGGACCCTACCGCGGCGAATGGAAAAATGGATGTAACCCCCGCACCCCGAACACTAAGTCGCGCATCCGGGCCTCATCCCCGCGCCCTCTATGGCCAATCCTTAAACCCTCAACGGACACCTCCCCCTACAGAGTCCCGGCCGGCAGCTGCACCAAAAGATTGTGCCTTTTCACGTTTTGGGGCAGCTGCAGAGTGGCAGGGTTGGGGGTCGCCCCTTTTGTGTACTTTTGCTTTGTACTAGTTGAAGGTGGGAGGGTTAAGAAGCAACACCGGAACAATAGCCGTGCAGAACACGGGACTGCTCTCCCCTTTCTTTTGTTACTGGGCCTTACGGTTTGTGTTGATGCTACTACACGAAGCGGGGATTCTCCGGAAGCAACACTGCAACATAAACCATGCATACCACAGGACTTTGTGTTCCCCCCTCCTTTTGTGCCTAATTATACGTGATGTATTCACTCTGGGGCTGCAGCAGGACGCAACAAGCCAACGAGTCTCTCTCTCTCTCTCTCTCTTTCTCTTTGGCTTTGCTTTGGGGCATTGGGCGGGGCAGTCCTTTCGTCCTGCGGAGCAACAGCTCGGACTGTACAGCAAGGCGTGTGCCGCTCTTCTTGAGGAGGTTTATCAGTGGATGTGAGCCTCTGTGCAACAAACGAACCAAGCAAGAAAGTCGGGCTCCCCGTCCACTCACTTCTGACTCCTTTGGACCAACGGGCCTTTCCAGAGTGAACAAAAGGTACACAGCTAAAGGTAATGTATAATACCTGGCATTGTTGGGTGCTTCGAGTCTGTGGCTACAACTCTTACCTTGCCTCCCGCCTTAACCCTGGCCGATACCGAACGCAGCACTGCCTGTGACCTTCCTGACCTTCCTCTCTCTCTCTCTCTCTCTCTCTCTCGTCAGGGTGTTAAGTGCAGCAGGCTAGAACTACCGGCACGTTGGACGACTGTTACGGTAAGCGGCGACTCTCTCTCTCTCTGGTTTTGTTTCTGCCGGAACGGCTTTGGGGTTGCTTAGCAGGAGGCAGCGAACTACAAAATGTGCTCTCCGTGCTGTGATCCCCCAGCCTGCTCTCTCTTTCTTTCCCCAGGCCTGAGGGCAAGCCCCCGCGGGAGCTGCCCCTTTGGTTGGTTGTACGCACGGTTTTACTCTCTCTCTCTCTCTCTCTCTCTCTCTCTCTCTCTCTTCTTCAGCAGGGCATTGGGGACGAGTTAAGCTCTCTCTCTCTCTCTCTCTCTCACACACACACACACACACACACCCGCCGAGTCTTTACACGTCCGGAGAACACGTCTGCCGATTGCTCGAGCGCCGGAAGCTGCTAGGTGCACTTCTTGCGAGTGCGGGTAACTCAAGATCAAGAAAGCTGCTCAGCACTGACGAGTGCAAACAGATGCCAATGCCAAGTAGCACCCCAGGCCCCAGAATCGACCAGATCAGATTCATCAAGAAATTCTACCCACAAGAGCAAGCTCCAGTGAAGCAGCTTCTGACACATCGATAACCGATGACCCCCGCCACGTGACATCACAGGAGACTCTGCGTATGACCATGTCAGTTGCGGTGACAACTTTCAGCCTGTACCGGTGGAGCACCAAAAGCAGCCGTGAGCACCCGATGTTTCATCACACAGCGAGCGACCAGCCGCTGGCTCCCAGCATGAAAGCCTCAGACGACTTTTTGCCTCTGCACTCCTCAGATGTATACGTGTCTGGGCACGCTGCATTCCTTGCTGCAGACTTCGATGGCCATCGTGCCTGCACCCGGCCTGTGACGTCAACAGCATGGTGTGGCGCGACTGTTGATTGGGGTGCTGGATTCCGCGCCTCCGGAGCGCGAGGTCTGCACGAAAGCCATGCATTGGCCACGCGACCAGGATCTCATCGCCCGGCTCCTACACAAGGGCGGCACTCACGGAAGTCCTTGGCAAACATGTCTGCCAAATTGCGGTGCGGCCGGCTGCTTTCACGGAACTGTGTCGACCGTGAACATCCATGAACATAACCCTCGGTACGAGTACATGTCTCGCTCAGGGCTCAGGCAGATGTCCTGAGCGCTCTGCAGCGCTGCGAAGACGGAGCGGAGCAAAGCTGAACTTGGCTGCGGAGCCAGGTTATGCTGCGGACCGCCAGTCGAGAAGACCTGCACAGCCCAATCTTCCACACTACACTGTCGCGGCATCTTGTTCCAGAGCGGCCTCTTCTGCCCAGTCCGCCAGCCAGCAGGCTTCTCGATGGCCTGCGACCTTGGACGGAAACCACAGACATAACAGCCCCAGGGAAAGCCTCCGAATCCTCCTTCCGCTGCTGGGGACACCCCTTCATTTCCGGCTGGAGCTCGAAGCGGCCATGGTCCTACTTACCCTGCCACACAGTGTCACGCCTTAGCTGCCATAGATGCATTGCTTAGTTCGGGACGTGCTGGAGCCAGACATGGGAAGCAGCAGCGATCTCGCCGGCGCATTTCATTCGAAGTGCCGAGTCCGCGGGCACGTTCAGTTGACACTGTGTCTTCGCTGCAGAGAAGAGATATGTGACGGACACTTCCGACAGAAAGGCGAAGTCAAGCAAAGCTGCTGCAAAAAGGTCGGCTGCCAGCGCTGGCAGCGACCTCCGAAACGCGCAGCCGCTGCAGCTTCTAAGGTATCGCATGTAATCTGACTGAAGCTCCTACAAGCTGTCATTTTGGCCTTGGGCATGCCACGCACGGAAGCTCGTCCCTAGAAGAGCTGCACACGAGGAATGACTGAGGCTGATTCTCTGAAATCTTGTCTTAAGAGGCGATTCTACACGAGCACAGATTCTCGCCTACTCGAAAACGGCACACGTTCCTGATGCGCGAACAGGATAATAAAAAAAACAATGCTGTAGGCAAGACAAAGCAGAGGCACTGCATGGCACCGCTGTGCAGCATGCTTCTTCTCGACACTCTCTTGCCACCACCACCACCACCGCCACCACCACCACGACTACTACTACTACTACTACTACTACTACTACTACTACTACTACTACTACTACTACTGCTACTACCACTACTACTACTACTACTACTACTACTACTACTACTACTACTACTACTACTGCTACTACTACTGCTACTACTACTACTACTACTTCTTCTTCTTCTACTTCTACTTCTACTTCTACTTCTACTTCTACTTCTACTACCACTACTACCACTACTACCACTACTACCACTACTACCACTACTACTACTACTGCTACTACTGCTACTACTACTACTACTACTACTACTACTACTACTACTACTACTACTACTACTACTACTACTACTACTACTACTATTTTCTTCTGCTACTACTACTTCCTTCTGCTGCTACTACTACTACTGCTGCTACTACTACTACTCCTACCACTTCTACCACTCCTACTACCCCTACCTCTCCTACTACTCCTACTACTCCGTCTGCTGCTGCTACTACTAGTACTTACTACTCCGCCTACTCCTCCTACTCCGACTACTCCTGCTCCTGCTCGGGCTCCCGCTCCCGCTCCTGCGCCTGCGCCTGCGCCTGCTCCTGCTCCTCCACGTCCTCGTGCTCCTCCGCGTCCTTCTCCTCCTACTGCTACTCTACCTCCTACTCCTACTCCTACTCTTACTGCTCCTGCTCCTGCTAGAGCTAGTGCCACTGCTGCTGCTTCTTGCCTTGCTTTCTGCTGCTCGGTCCCTGCTGGAATCATGAGACGGATCCCGAAGCTATCATTGCAAACGCTGCTGCACTACAGCATGCAAGCAAGGCAGAAGCCCAACATGCAAGCCAGGAGGTTCCGAATCCAGCTTCTGCAATCAGCATTTCCCTGGCCCCACCTCGTTGAACGGGTCCATGGCTCGAAAACGACATTCGGGACGCCCGAATCGCTTTGGATCGTGGCTGGAAGTCCTGAGAAGGCCGGCTTCACAGCCCACTGCCCCACTGCCAGCAGCGCACACAGGCAGGCCAAGCGGCGCTTTCCCCACATCGACAAGCTCTTGTCGACGCTCAGCAGGAAGTGCTCTGAGGGATGTCCAAGAGCACCCAGAGGTCTCAGGAGTCTTCCAGCAAGCGTTGCACCGATGTCGGCCCTGTCGGCCTGTTCTTCATCTTCCAAGGCCTCGAAGAGCTCCTGGTCTCGGACGCGGAAGTGGGCATGCTGGCCCAGCACTGCAGCGGCTGTCCGTGGACGGACAGCTCTCCGAGCACAGAGTTCCAGAGTCAACGGCCGAAGGGTTGCAAGGAGATACTCCCCGTCCACGCCCGGACTCAGCATGTGGAGGGAACCTTCGGCAATGCGTTCCAGTGCCGCTGCCAAGCTGTTCGCCAGATCGGATCCGGATCCTGGCCCTTGTGCTAGATTGGCAAGCTCCTCTTTGGAAACAAGAGAAAGCCTTTGCAGGTACAGCTGCGATGCCTCACGGGTGAGTGTGATGCTGCTGCTGCCGAAAGCTTGCGAAAGGAGGCCCAGGTCCACGAAGGAGCCGAAGCGCAACGTCTGCTGCACCTGCAAGAGCGGTGCGACAGGCCTCGACGACTTGCATTCAAAGCCGTGCCTGGAGGGCAGCCACACCCAGAAACGCAGCACGGCCAGCTGAAGGCAGCCGGGCCAGATTGCTGCAAAACAAAGCCAGCTGTGACGGGGAGAATTGGCCAACGTGCTGAAGGCCAGCAGAAGCCAACGCTAGGTTGAACTGCTCGTCCTGTCAAGCGGTACAGCTCTCCAGACATCCGAGTCATCCGAGACCCTCGAGTCTGACTCCCCAGCCTGCACGATGCCAAGCTTCACAGCAGAGCTCGCCAAGTGTGCTAGGTCCTCAGACTCGTCTCGGGAGGCGATGAGCGGGAGAGTGCGAAGGCATGAAGAACGCCCACCCTCGACGAAACCCCTCCAAGATGTTGGGTTGATTCAACGACACCAAACACTTGCGCTGCCGCACGAACATTAGCAGATCTATGAGCTCATCCTGAGTTGTTCGAAGTCCGAGCGTCCTCTGGGCCCGCCAGCTCCTGCGTGCAGATGCTGTCAGCAACATGCCAGAAGGCATCCGCATCCTGATTGAACAATCTCACCGTGTCTGGTCACATGCGTGACTGCCGCTCCTGAAGCTGCCCCTGCGACAGCCACAGCTGCTTGAAGCCGCGAAAGAGGTCGGGCCCCAATTGTGCTGTCCTCAAGCTTATGGTGAGCAAGTGGCAAGGGTTTCAGACCCATGGTCAGCCCGCACGAGACAGACACCAGCACCACATCCCGGGAATGTTCCAACACCGCTGCAGAGCTCTGAAAGCCCAAGTCGGTTAGCCCGCCGGCACAGCAAAAAGCTCCAGAGACGGAACAGCGTGGCCCTGCTCGTATTTCTTGCACGTGGAAATTTTTGGGCACCAACGAAACGGTGCGATTGGGTAACCACACCCCAGACCCGAGAGGCAGCATGGCATGGTGGTGCTAGGACGGACTTTAGACTCCGAAGACCACAATCGTGCCAAGGTATTGGACCCCGGAACGAATTCGGCTTTTTGCGAGGCACACGAACCCCGTGTTACCACACTGATTGGAGAACGCACTCATTTCTCGATCAAATTTCTTCGACGCCTCTCTCGTGACGAAAAGCGTTCTCGCTTGTTTTGATGACTCCCGCTGAAATGCACAGGTCCTCTCGGCCAAGAGTCACGCTAGTACACCGAGCAACGGCATCCAGGAGCAGGGCCGCCTGTGTGATCGTGTAGTCGGCTGTGCAAGGCCTCCAGGCAGACAGCGGCTTCAGTCCCTTTTTGGCACGCCCTAGGCCCTAGCCAGAGCTGGACAGGCGCGGAGGGATGCTCCTGGCCTGATGGAACTGTCCACCACGGAAATGAAAAGCTCGGAGTCGCACTGCTTCACAACCGCAAAGGCATTGAGTGCCATGGTAGCAGCTGCAGGCGGAAGCAGCGCAGATGAAGCGTCGGCTCGAAGACGCTCGGAAATTTTCGCCCAGCAGACTTTGTGCGTGAGGGCGACTCTGGAAAAAGCGTTCGCCAAGCTGCTAACATCGATGCTCTCCAACTCGTCCAGGCTGTTCTCTGCAAAGTGAGTGGTCACAACCTCAAAGCTCTCGCTGTTGCACCTGGGGACCCGATTGGATGAGTGGCAGAAGAGGAAACTCGTTCCGTCTGCATGTTGTTTCACAGATGTGAGATGTTAGGACACATCAAGCTTGACGGCCTAAGTTTAGCCAGGGCAATCGTCACAAAGCAGAGGTCTCTGGCTGAAGCTTGCGGATCTCCTGAATGAGCCAAAATGCGCAGAGTGCATGTCCAAAAAGTGCTTGGTAATCGGTTCATGCATAACCTGTCTCCTGGAGCTCATCCACTCTTGCTTCTCGCTCACTCTGCTCGTCAGTAAACACTTTCGACCGACTACAGTGTGGAACGGTGGCAGACACATGTCTGCAAGATGTTCAGTCCTTTCCATGATGCATCGTCTAGAAGATCCCGAAACAGGGAAATGTCCTGTGCAGGCAGGGCACCGCACTGGGGAGCTCCTTTGGTCGGCCACTTTGGGCTTCAAGGATGACTCAAGCGAAGCATCCTTCTTGCCAGCTGCGGCATGGCCCTGGAAGAGCCTCCTGAGAGAGGCTTTGATCTGCGAACATCTCCCAGAAGATTCAGTCCGTAAAGGAATCAAGAGCCAAGAGCTCTGCTACTGCATCCAAGCACCTCAGATCGCGGAGAGTCAATCGCCTCCGAACTTCGGAGGCCCGCGCAGCGTAGGCGTGCCACAGGGTTGGCGAAGTATGGCGGCCTAGGAAGTACGATGCACTCCCATCTACTTTCGCATCTGTCAGAGCCAGAGCAATGCAACATGGCGAAGGATGGGACTACGAGGATGAGCCTGCGCCTGCGCTCGCGATGGCTGATGCCAAAACATGAGGCGCCATGTGCTTGACCTGCGCTTCAAGCAGCGGGTTCTTTGAACGAGCTAGTTCAGAAGCAGAGCACCTCCCGTGCGTCGAGCTGAAACTCGAGTAACGGTGACCTGCACAAAGCCGCAGCAGAGAGGGCAATCTTAGAATCTTCAAACCCTTTTTGCGGCCAGTTTTCCTCTCAGACGACCTGCCTGGCTTCAGGCTTTTTGGTCTTTTCGCGGGCCGTGGCAGCACATCCTGGTTGATTTCGTCTCTGCATGCGACATGAGCACGCCCAGACGGGCCTCGTGAGGCAGCAGTGGCGCGACTTTTTCGCAGCCTGAGAGGTGTGGCAAGCTCAAAGGCAGTGCTCAGAGAGGACAGACATGTTGGAGCAGCGGCGGTCATACTCTCTTTCCAGAACTTGCGGTCTCTAAGAGAATTCGAAAGAAACCAATCGCGCGACTCTACAGTGACTCTACGGTCTCATATTACTTGTTGGACTGGTACAGCGACTGCGAAATCAGGCCTCTGCAAGCTGGACCGAAGGACAGTCGCCATGGCCTGCAGCCCTCTGGTGAGGACCAACCCCGATGTGCTCTGCCGAACTTGCTGACTGCTTGGTGTTCAGCGGTTGCAACACCAGCGCGGGGGTCACGGTTGCTAACCTGGTGTTTATAAAGTTCTTGAAGAGCATACGAGCAATGGATCGACGCACAGCGATGCATCTGGCTCAGAGCCCAGAGGCTTTCAGACCGCTTCAGGAATCCAGATGTGACAGGTGGCTGACCTCGGGCGCCAGGCCCAAATGAAGCAGACTCGGGTCTTTGCACCCCCCCAGGCTCAGGTGGAAAATTTGTGAGAAGCAACACAAAAAGAAAAAATGGCTGAGCCCTTCTCACTGGCAGTCGCCATGAATCAAAGAACCTCCTTCTGCTCAGCAGCTTCTCGCTGGCCTCGTCCGTTTCCGCGGCTTCCTCTTGGATCCCTTCACGTCTAGACGCGACTGTCGTTCCGGCATGCAGATGTCTGCTTGCCGCTTGTCCACTGAGATGTTCGTGCACGCAGCCGTTGCTGGCCTCCTGGCCTGACAACGCCGTCCGCGATAGTTTCCGTGAGAGCTTCAGAGTTGTGTTCCCCGGACGTGTCTTCACCGGCATGCCAATCACCGAGACCCAGCGATTCTCCGAAGGTCTGCTCGACGGGATCGTGACACCTCCTCCAAGCACGATGCACTGTGTCGCAGGCAGCGGGTGAAAGTTCTTCATCCCAGCATCCTTAGTGAAATCTGTTGGCATCCATCACGTAAAGCGAGCTGCGAATAGTCTTGCCTCGAACCTTCTTCTGCTGTGTGAAAGTAGCACCGATCAGAAAAGGAACTCTTGCAAGCTCAAACCGAGTTGCAGCAGCTGACTTCCACGAACCTGACAAGCTGTTAGCTCCAAAGTCTCTCGCTACTACCAGTTAACTCTACGGCTTTTACACTTGAGACTCAGACGATAAGCTACATGCTTGACTGCTGAGCCACACCAATTCAATCTCATGCACAATTGCTTATGCACGTTTGTGCAGACGCTGGAACTTCGGATACATTGACATGAGGCGCAGCGATAGGAAAAAAAGACAGAAAAGGGCAAATGCACCCGATCTTGGAATTGCTTCTGATGGGGTTGCAGAGTCAAAACCTGGGCAATAACCACAAGGGCAATTTCTAAAAACAATCAGTGTACCGGCAAGCCTGCCTGTCGATGCAGCATCTCCGTGCCGAAATTCCGCACCGACAGGGCATCGAATCGCAGAGCGGCCTCTGCAGCTCCACCGACAGCATCCTCCAAGAACCTGCACTTTGTGTGTCTTCTGGCAACGTGACACCCTGACGACTCGACAGCTTCACAGTGCCGGAGAGTCCAAGTCACTGGATGTACTGGCGAAAGAGGGGCTCGCTCATGAAAGCCCTGGCAGCGGCTTTCTTAGTGCTCCGCGACGCACGTCAGAGTCCGCGCACCGCTGCCTCTTCCAAACAACGCAGGCGCTCATGTCGCCATGGACACCTTCAGCAGCCAGCGAGGCCTGTCCACGGCGCGCACCAACTGGCCGTGAGCACTGCCAAAGCAACCAGGCAACCCTGCCTGGCTCAGCTGCAAGAAAAGCTCTGTGAGGTCGCCCAAGAAGGCATCCTGAAGATGAACGCAATAGAAATAACACCGAGCCCATCGGCACAAGCAACAAGGCTTCCTTGGTCACACGTGCCCAGTACGATGGATTGATCTACCGGCTCCTCAAGTCTTCTGAAGTAACTACTCTGCCCTGGAGGTTTCGAGGCCTTGGTTGCACTTGATGCTTCTAAGCTGCGCACTCTGTCCTTGGGCCTTTGACCACGAAGATGCTCATGCACAAAGGTGTTTCAAACTTAATTCCAGAACGTGCACCAAGCCTCCCAGACCCCGAAACGGATCTAAGTCTGTCTCTCTCGCCGGAAGATAGCTCCACCTCATGCCGCTGAAAATGCATGCAGAACAAGCTATGAAGAGGCGACTTGCTGTCCCTGTCTTTCTTCCAGGTCTTTCAAGTATTAGGCACAGCAACAAGAAGACTGAGACAGCACGGCAACAAGAAGACCGAGACAGCCCAGCGTCCTGCGAAGTGCGGAGGCCTTGCACAATCCAAAGCCAAAGCCGGTTCTTTCGCAATCTTTTGCTCTCAACATGTTTGGTCTGAACTCACAGAGAACGAACGAATATAGTCTTTTCCTTGACCTGGTCGGGTCCGTGCCTGTGTGCGGGCTCACATCTTCGATGTGCCTGCAATGGCCACAAAGCACTTGCCTTTTACTGGATCTGCGGATGCCGGTGCCTGCAGGCCGCTTGAGCCGTCTTGGTATGGAGACTGCGGAGAGGATCCTCCGAGAAATGGACCGGAGTCTTGCAAGCCAGTCACCGATTCCAGATCTTGAGCAGCGATTCCTTCTCGACTCCCTGTTCGTGTGTTCGATGACTGAGTGGTATCATCTGCCTCCTTGAAGGCTATGTCCCCGTCGGTAAGGTCCCACAAGATGTCCAGGCCTGTCCATGCGAAAAATCTCTCGCTTCTAGGTCCGGTACTCAAACGATGCACCTCGCCTGCAATTCCTGGATGATCGAAGAGGTGGGTGTGGCGAAACCACTGCAGCATCCCGCTGCCTGACGCACGAGAAGACCATGACGGTTGTGAATGATGGTGGAGGCCTCATGCACTGACACGCGTTCATGAGCTGGAAACACATGCTAGACGTCTCAGCCCGCATGAAGCATGCGAAGATGCACGCCAGCAGTAGCAGCCGCACCAGCCGCAGCAGCAGCAGCAGCAGCAGTAGTACTGGCCGTAGCAGTGGCTGTAGCCGTAGCACGCTAGCGGTAGCCCAATAGCAGTACCAGCAGCAGGAGGAGCAGCAGTAGCTATCAATAGCCGTAGCAGTGGTAGTAGGTAGCAAAAGCAGCGTAAGCGGCAGCATGAGCAGCAGCGGCTCCCCTGCGCAGAAGGTCTGCCTGCAATGTGTGCGTCCTGCGACTTCAGGAACCACACCCGGTTCTCACTTGCCTAAGCAAGACGCGCAGCGATAGGAACTCCAGGGACGTCCTGAGACCGTGCCCGGGGCCAGGATGATCTTCTCCTTCTCTTGCTCGGGAAGGACACCGGCGGTGAAGATGATCAGAGGGTACTCCCATCCAGCGAGCCTCTCAAACGAGGACTCTCCGTGGTCAGCTCTCAATAGACCTGTCTGAGGCCGCGGCACATTGAGCCTTCGGAGATTTGCGAGGCAGGCCTCCAGCTGGAGCTTCCCCTTTTCCCCTCCCTTACCAAAGCTGCCGTCCCTTTGACTCGCCTCCAGGGTCTCGGAGCGCCGGTCCAGCCTGGCATTACCAGAGATTTGGATTTTCGAGATCTGCGGCTGCTTCGCGTGGCTGAATGGTTGAATGACTGCGACAGCGACTAGCTACGTCACGTCCTCCCTCGCATAGCGGCATAGCAGGCGACAAAGCCGGGACAAAACGAAAGGATCTCAACAGATACGAGGGATAAGCAAGCAGCACTCGCCAGCCATCGACTGGGAGCCAGACACGTAAACCAGTGCTCCACGAAACGGCCTCTCCTGATCGAGGTCAGCTTAAGCGGCCTATCGAAGCGACAACTGTCCGCAACGTGATAAATCAAACAGTTCTCCCAGCAAGCACCTTGTCTCGCGCGCCCTGGTCCACAATGTAACAGTCGCTCCCGCGGAAAGGAGGCAGGCAAGCACATGCCGACCTGCCATGCTTCCGGTGTCTCATATATGCTTTTGGTGTCATCAGTCATCAGCTAAAGACGACACCAACCGCGCAAAAACATGCTCGCTCTTCGGCTGCCTCATCTAACGGTAGAGCATCCGCGCACATTGCAGCCAGGTTGTCAAGCGTGGCAGGAATGCTGCAGCTGGTGCTGGCCTGAACTGAGATAGCACTTGCCATACTGTGAAGTGTTTGAGCCTACTGCAACCTTCGCACGAGGGGCATTAGATCAGTACAATTGCTGCCAATGATATGACATCGTGATATAGTGTATTCCTTTATGCCATAAGCAACTCCATTCTAGTTGTATTCTACCTTATTCTATGCTTATATGTTATTCTATGCTGTTATATCACATTATGTTGTATTCTACTAATACTATGTTTCATTACACGAATTTCGTGTTATATGTGCCGCGAATGCCCACCCTGGTGAAAACCACCTTACCCGAAACCTAAACGTCAAACAAGCCCTGAAAGCCCCAAACCCCAAAAGCAAAATCCCCAAGACCCTAAACCCTAGCATCCCAAACCATACACCGCAGATCCTCTGAAACCCCAAAATGCTGGAATTTTGGGGCCCTACCTTCCAAATGAATCGCCGTTATCTACGGAGCAAGAGGGCAAGCTTGCCAACGGCTATCTGTATCTCAAACACACGTCGGGCAAGCGAGGCGATATCCGTTAGCGGTGCAACGTGAACTACATTATGTTGTGGTATATTGAAAGTTGCTGTTATGCAATTGTCCTGTCACAAGAGAGCGTGTAATGGAATGATAACCTGCGACCATGCACTGGGCACCTTTTTGTGACCGTCTTCAAAACGTAGGGAGCGCCTGAGCCAGTGGCTGCCCCTTTCCAAAGGCTCCACTGGAGGACTGTTTGGGAGGGCCGTTTGGCCGAGCAATCTCAGCTACGTCCGAACTTGAAAAGGGCGTGCTCTTCTCCTTCAAAGCGCTTCGTCTCAAAGTGCAGCTGGGAGAATCCCAAGGCCTCCATCTCTTGGAAAAAGAGCGGCAAGAGTCTGACACCATCTTGAGAGCGCCCAGCGTTCTCGCAGGCGCAGAACACACCTCCAGGCTTCAGGACTTCAAGCAGCAACTTCGGCAGCCTTTCCTTGGAGACCAGAGCTCGGGCCAACAAGACCGGGACACTGCCTACATTGCCTGCGGTTCCTGCGTCCGAGCCTCTACAGCAGGTTTTTGATAGATCACCTCGCAACGAGACTTGTGTATTTTCTGCTGACCATGCTGTCGCCTTCAGTGTCTTGCATTATCTTCGTCTGCCTCGCTGGCCAAAGCCACGTCGTAGCGATCAAGCGCATCTGGCGCCTGTAAGCTTTGCTGCCAGAACGAATCAGCTGGACTCAGCTGGACTGCTCCATTGAATGCAGTATTGCACAGAAGCACCTCCCAATCGAGGGATCTCACCGTCACATTCTTGAAGCCGTTCTCCTTCTTAGCCAGGCCGTTCTTACTCAACAGAGGCAGATTTGACCACTCCTCCGCGCTCATCTTCAGCGCCTCCTGAACAGCCTTGCAGCGATCGCTCAGGTCCACCTTCAAAACAACACAGATGTCCACAGAGGTTCGGCCGGCGTCCGTCAAGCATCGAGGCAGCCGTCGCCTCTTGGGCCCCAAGGGCAGCTGCTGCCAGGCCACACAGCCCCGGCCCAGCACCCACCTGAGGGGGCACCCAGAGTCGGAGTCCGAAAGCTCACGATTTCCCGAAGACCTCCTCCTCCCCTGTTCTCCACAAGGCTCCCGTCGTGAGCCTACAAAGGCGCCTCTAACACTTTTCGGCCCACGAGGAAGCTCGGTTCAGACACCATCCAGGACGTCAGCAATTGCGCCCCGGGCCACACCCTCCAGCCGTGGCTCGACAAGATTTCTGCCTCCCTGGCTTCACTGAGCTTCACTTTCAAGCTCAGAGTTTCCGGCTCCCCATAGGAAAAGCTGAGCCAGTGGTTCTGCTCCCGAGTGCAATCTCCCAGCTCCGTGGACAGCTCTTTTGCCAAGGCGGACAGCTCTGTTCGCCCGAACAAGTGCAGTGCCTTGAGAGCAGAAGCAGCCGACGACGCTTTGATCACTCCTCGATTGCCCTCGCTGCGGGATATAAGAGCGAGCAGGCCCTGTGCGGCAGCCTCAGCAACCGCCACGTTTGAGCTGCGAAGGCCCTGGATCAGGAAAGGGAGCAGCGGGGAGCTGTCCTCCGACAGATCTCCTCCCTCCAAAAGCTCTTGGACGACATTCCGGATCGCTTCCTCTGACATTCTGTACAGATTCCGAAGTGGAGCCGAAACTGCGGGCTTCCAAGATCCGATGCCTGCTGACTTGATGGATCTCGCAGGTTTGGTGACCTGGGCCCCGCACACCAGCTAGCATGCGCTCTTGGCTGCGTGTCCATGGCCTGCGATTCTCATATCAGGCCAGGAGGACGACTCGACAAATACACAAAACATGCAACATTCGAAGAAACTGGTGCTTGCAGCTTCACTTCGAACAGTCGAGCAGCATGAATTCTGCATAAGAAGGGAAATGCTCAACAGCGTGTGTCACGTGATCCTCGTCATGCAGCTCCCGCTTCAGACATGCTGCTGTACTACTGTCACTACTGTAGTCTGTCTTCCGCACCTCCGCAGATGCCACACCCGTTCCTGCGGTTGCAGTCCCACGCAGTAGCCTCAATCTTCTGTGCATGGCCTGCGGCCAGACCGAGCAGTAGCGACTGCGCAGAAGCTTGGAAAACAAAGCCACACCTGCATCGCCATGCTTCTGGAAGTGCTTTGCAGCTCCTGGGCAGAAATGGCAAGCTAGAAGTCCGTCGACCACTGGCACTTGCCAAGCATGACACCATCCGGGGGAGTCGGTCTTGCCGTATGTTTGACATCTTCTCTGCTGTATGTCGTGTGCGCTGCATCTACGTTTGGGCGCTTGTTTCTAGTTGTTTGTGTGTCTTTCGGTCCATAACTTCGGATTTGCTACCCCGGCGCCCGCAAAAGGGGCGTTTTGCCCCTAACCCCGCATGCCGAAACAAACCCACCGAGAAACTCCAAGCCCAGAAACCTAAACCCCGAGGAAAACCCAGAAACCGCAAACCTCTGAACCCCCTAAACCATGAACCAAGAAACCCTAAACTAAGCCAAGAGACGTCCGCTAAACCCCTGCACCCTGAAGCCCCAAACCCCTAAACCATGAACTCTGAACCTAGAGACAAATCCAGAAACCCTAAGCCCAGCCAATCGCCGAACCCGAGTTGTCAAATGGCCCGCTTGGCCTTGATTATTCTACCCCCTCTACGCCCTCCTGAAAACATGCGTATCCTGCGAAAATTACTCTGCGACGTAGTTCCCCCTTTCCCCCCCCGATGGAATGAATATGGAATACGTATTTAGGACACCCCTCATGTCCTCATCGCACACGTCTTTACCTGTGTAGCTCCCGGAGATCCTGACGAGGAAAGCCGACCGCGGTTTAGCATCGGAGCGGTGCCCCCAGGCCCTAAACCCGGCAGCAAACATGGCAAGGCCGACAAGTGCCCTTCCGCCGCGAGAAACTCCTTGAAGGACCTGCGACAATGGATCACGAGACTTGGGAGATGCAAGCCGCAGCTAGCCGAAATTGCACACTTCCAGTGTGGATCCCTGTCACCCCGGGGCCTTGAACAGCCGAGACCTCTCTCGGACGGCCCAGAGGGCTCCGGACCTCGGAGGCCCAAAAACAAACCCCTGAAAAGAAGCTTCTGCTTTGGTCGAGTACACAGCTTCCGGCTCAGCCAGGTCGCATCGAAGCCAACACCCACCTCGAGTGGGACGTGAGAGATGGGACATATGGGACGACCGTCTGGAACATAATAAACTGTGGGCAAGCTCGCCAGTATCTGCTCCAACCCGGTGAAGTTTGAAGACTTTTCTGTCCTTCCCTCACTTCCAGGAAACTTACCGCTCTTGTTTTTGCGTAAGTGCCTTGGCTGTGGTGGCCTCACTAGATCCCGGCCTGAAGCCCTGCAGACTTTCCGCGCCTCCAAGTGGTCCATGTACCGGGAGTAAGGCGAGCAATACCAACCTTGTAGGGTGGTACTGAACGACAGCGCCATGTCTCGAGGCAGCAAACGCTTCTCAGACATGATTCAACAAAGCTCTTGCGAGACTTCTGAAAGACCGTTTCACTGCCTTGACGCCACACTTCGAAGGTAGATGGTGTGGTCCCTGCCCAAATGGAAGACAGCTGCTGACTTACCACGGTATGCCTTCTGTCTACTTCATGCGTCAGCCCTTTGGTGCAGGCCTGGCTGACCAAGATGCTGCCGCACCAAGGACGCCACGCGCTGGTGAACCAGCACCTAGCGCGCAGCACGGTTACTCCGCCTGTTCCACGGCGTGTCTTCACAGTCGTCCGTCTTGATGCCTACTGGTAGAATCTGGTAGAAGTTTAACAACATTTCCTATCTTGATCCCGTGAGGACCAGGCTGCAACAAAGTGCTCAAGATACAAGAGCTCATAGCCTCAGGGTCCCGGGTGCTTTTTGTCGCAGATGCGACGCATCAAAGGCACTGTTGGAGAAAGGCGCCGACCAAGCGGCCCCAGAAGCTTGGAAACCGATTCAAGCGAGCACCTGGGCAACGCTAACATCCCCATACCCATACTTGTGGAGCGCACATGTACGGTGGAAAGCGCCCCGAAACCGTCCATACTGAGCGGAGGGCTGCGCAGCCATGTACCGTCGAAATGCTTGAAGGTTGCTGATGAATCGATCCATACCAACCTGCAACAATGTCCACGGCAGGTCCGGAAGATGCAGCTCGTGTGGAATCTGGAGGCCGCACCCTTCGAGCCGCTTTGGACTTGCGCCGGTGCCAGATGTAGAAGTGTGTGAAGTTTGGCATCACCTCTGCATCTTTCTGCATGCCAGGATGAGCTCACTTTCCAAGCGGAGCATCTTGCCTCCAGCGGCGGAGGAATGGTTGGATTCACGGGCACGTACACGATGCTCGCCGTGCTGATGCTGTCGGCCTGCAGAGCGCTCTCGCAGACGCACTAAGGCCTCTTTCGGAAGCTTCTCCACACGTCAGGCTAGGAGCAGTGATGCAAAGCTATCAGTGCTCGTTGCCTCTATCACTGTCGCAAGAAAGCTTCGGCCGGTCCAGGATAAGGCCCAAAGAAGATGTGGTTTGGGGCAGTTTGAGCCTGCAGGATCTGCCAGATCGTCTGGCAATTCCCCGCCATTGGGTTCAGCGATCTGTCAGCGGCTGAAGCATGCTCGACTCTTCCTCCACTGCCCTGCTAGGAGCTGCTAGCAACTTTGTGGAATCGTCAGCCCCAAACATGGCTGGAGAACATAAGGTCGTAGGGGTCAGGAGGCGGCATGATCGGATCCATTGTGGACTGCCACACCGGCTGCTCCTTGTATGTTCAGATTCAGATGCTCCCACTGCTGCATTGACATCAGAGCAGATCCGTCTCTCCTATTTCTGGATGCCTCTTCGGGGGTCCTCTGTCTTGGTGATTCACCAGATGTGCGCTCTTCCAAGTGTGTGTGTGTGTGTGTTTGGGTCGAGCAGCTGCGTATGACCAATGCACTTTAGCCTTGAACGCTTAAAGCTTAAAGTCGGAGCTCCTTGGACCGCTGCCCCGACCAGGCCTCGGCACACGAACATCGCATGCTTCGTTACAACGCAGTGGCTTTTGCCTCAGATCAAAACCATCAAACCAAGGTGAGCACTCGCCCAATCCATTTGACGTAGAGAGGGTCGTCAATCTCCGGGTCCATGGTGAGAAAATAGATCTGCGGAGCCCCACAAGAAGAATGCTTAGGAAGCTCATGTCTCCACACTTCCTATGCCTTATCTCTGCCTACGACCTACGACCTCGGATGTCATGTATGCCAATGTATGCAGACGTCTTCGCATGATTCCTCCCTCGGCCCAGGGAGAGTCCCCCGCGCCACTCCGCTGAGCCCCAGTTCGTCGTCAAGGCAGAGAGTCGGATCGTAGAGGATCCCCACCTCGGCGGGTCGCGGTGGGCTTGCGTGTCGTCGCCTGAACACTGTGCCACACTGTGCCCGTCCCAAACGGGGAGCTGAGGATAGCCGCATTGAATGCCAGGAAAAGCAATCCACAACTGCCGTGACTTACAAGGTAACTCCTGTGGACAAATTCTGAGAATTACGTGAAGCCTACTGCGAGTGTGCTGGATGTAAAACGAGGGCAAGCCACGGCTTCCTCACAGCTCGCCTCCTGGCCGAAGCGACCCGCTTGGCGAATCTAAGTCAAAGAGCATGCAATCTCCGGCAATCTTTCTCAAAGGCATTTCGAAGACTTCACAACAAAAACTGGGGGGTACACCGCCACATACGAGCGATGTACCGGCCTGGTAGAATACTTGGCCAAACGGAGCCGAACCAGGCTGAGTGTTGAACAGTTCACAGGGCAGGACCTGGGGATTCAAAGGTCCACACCTCCCGGAGGTCGCAATGATCTTCAGCAGCTGACTCGGCGACGCCTCAGCACCGGCGCAGCATCCGAAACAAGGAGCCGCTAAGGAGCCCTTGCAACAGAACGGCAGAGAGGAGAACATCGCTGGACCAAGGGGCTCCCAGCCAAGTGGTCGTAGCTGCCGCATCCCTTCGAGCGAAAGCAATTTGAGCTTGGTCTCTGCCTTGTGGCGGGTCTCTTATGCACGGAGGATTCCTGATTCTGTCTCCTCCCCTTCCTGCGTGCACCCACCCAGTGTGTCCGCAGGCACTTGCCGTGCTCCCTCACCCCTGCCATCTCTTGCCCAATCCCGTACCGACACACGCCTTTACCACCCGATCCCTATCCTTCTGCTACTGTAGCGGTCCTCACAGGTTAGCTTGTCTTTGTTGTTCGGGCAGTCTCTCTTTCTCTTGCAGTCTTTCTTTCGACTTCTCATTCCTCTTCGTGCCCTCCCTCTTTCTCCGCCTCGTCCGGAGCTTTCCAGCAAGTGCTTCTCGCAGAGGGGCGACGCCCTTGTCGCTGGCCAGCCTGGTCGCATCCCCATCTCGCACCCTCCTACAGAACCCCAGTCTGAGCCTGCTGGAAGCGGGAGAAGGAACAGCATCTCCTCCAGAGCTCGGGAGTGCTTTTCTTGTGCTTAGTACTACCCTCCCTGTGACAGCACTTGACTCGCGGCTCCGACCTGCACAGTGGCGCTGCTGGCTCCACTCGCTTCCAGAACCTCTGCTGCGGCGAGCTGCGACCATGCTGGCACTCCTTCCAGTCTGCTTCAAAGCCATTCATAACACAAGAGCTACACATACTTGGTAGTATGAGCAAAGGAAAAGAGCGTAAGTAATTTAGCAATCTTGGAAAGAGAGCTTGCAGGGCAACAGAGCCACATCCCACTCCTTTTGGAAGGTGGCGAACTTCGGAGGCCATGTCCGGGATTGCGTCCAGCAGTTGTAAGATTATGAGCCGCACGGTCTGGCCTTGCACAGCCACGAACAAGGGAGTACGAAAACAACGATCCAGATGCGTCCGAGGCATGCGCCCACCACACCACCCACGTTCATGAACGCTTCGTCATCCGGAGGAAGCGCCTTCAGCAAGCAAACTGAGGCATAAAACAGGCTCACTCTGAGGACAACTTTGTCAATCCATGCCAACACTGGCTAGCTTTCGTGATCTATCCTGACCCCACCGTCGTCGATGGTACCTCCAGGCCCACCGAGATGTCTGCCGTCAGCAACTCCTCTCAACATCATACTCTGCTTCATGTGCGATGGACGAGATCCCCACTCGAAGTCATCCTAGTCGGCACCCTCTCCTGCAGCGCGTGTCGCACTTGCTGCGTAGCGCCTCTTCTCTTGATGACGGGCGGCTCCCTCTGGCGAATCTCGAGAGTCGACGTCGTCAGGGCGATGGAGGACTCCACCAGATGACACAAAGCGGCAGCCTTCCGGCCAAAGGACTCGAGCAACGTCAAAGAGGACCTAAGTCTGAGTCGTCTCGTTCCGAAAGCAGCCTGGGCTCCGCGCTCGCTCTGCCTTGCCTCATACGAACCTCTAGCCAAAGCAGGCTCCCGCCCCCGACTGATTTCCTCATGCTTTCTACCCGTTTGAATGTCTCTCTCATCCCATGTGCCACTTCCAGGGGTGCATTCCTTTGAAGGATCCGGAATCCTTTCAGCGGAAGTCTCAGGCCCGGGCTCCTCCGACTCGGCGCTTTCGCTGAGGCCGCAGGTTTCGCAGCCCAGCCGCTCACAGCAGCGGAGGTACGTCGCATCCAGGAGGCGAACCTGAAACAGCTTAGCACCTCCAGCCTCGCAGAGGCGAGTCTCTTAGACTCAAAGTGCGGCTCGGCGGCTCCGGCGCTGGTCAGCTCGAGAGCTGCAAAGAGGAGGAAGCGCTCCTGGCCTTTCTCGGCAGAGGTGTCCATCACTTCGCCGAGCTTTTTCAAGATGTCCGAAATCGCCGTGAGCGTCGCCTTTCGGAGGGTCGACACCGGCAGGGCCAGGCAGGCGCCGATGTCATCGGGCTCCAGCTTGTCCTCTAAACCATCTCGAGCGTGCACGTAGAGAACACGCTTCGAGTCGAAGGTCCCTCCTCGAAGCAACGCAGGCTGCAACAACGGAGGGGAGTGGAGCGTCAAAAGCAGTCCTCTGCCCAACTCCAGGCCACAAACCTTAGATCAACGAAACGCCCTGGAAGGTCTACGGACATCCTTTGCCTTGGATGCAACCAGCAGGCCAAGATGGCCAAGGAAAGTGGGATCAGAATCATGGCAGACTGCGCTCGCAAGCGAGCTGAAGCTCTCGGTGCCCACAGGCCATGGCATCGCCGAAGCAGTAGCTGTCTAACTGCCAAGGCGAGCTGCTGCCTTCATTTCGAAGAACGCACATGTCACATGTCTGCGTCATGCACTTGATCATACCATATCGTACCCAGAGAGCGCGCATTTTCTGCGGAGAGCCTGGCGTCATCTGGCGTCCAGACAAATCCAACATTCTTTTCAAGAAAACTTGTGGGTGAATACATTCGGGGACCGTGTTTAAATCATGTGGAGTCGACACCAAGTCTTCGAGGGTGACACAGAAGTGAGACGTTGTGGGATAAGAAGGTGGACACCTTGTTAAACCTCCACTCGACCGTACGCGACGTATCTGCTTCTGTGTGCTGTGCTGGGACGCCCACCTCTCCTCCTGTAGGCTAAGGGCCGACTTCGCCCTCGTCGGATGGGATGATGTCACCCAGCCATGCAAACTCATCACCCGCCGCTTCCGCCGCGGCCTTGGCTTTCCCAACGTAAGGGCCCCCCCCTGGACCAAGTATGCAAGCCGAACTTGCTTTGCACTGCACTGCTACAATTTTCGGGAACTTGGTTCTGCCGGAGCGAGTCTGCACAGTGCTGCCTCTTCGTGATTTCAGCAAATTGCGGACACTACTTAGCGCCTGAAAATTTCACCTCCAAGCCGACTGCGTCACAGTCCCAAGCCCGAGAGCTCGCGTCTGAGTGAGTGTCCCAGCTCATGGGTGGACTCTCGTAGTTCTGAGAACGCAGCACTCTGAGAAGGAGCAGAGGCCTGCGAGCATCGTGCATCTATACCCCTGTCCATTGCAAGCACTGCTGACATTGCGATTAAGAGATCTCTTCAAGACTTCAGGTGTCGAGTTTCTGCTGGTGGAATGCAAGGTTGCAATCGAGCGGCTGGAGGATTGGCAGGCTCCTGAGGAAAAGTCTTCTGATAGAGCAGCTGCACCTTGGGCCATGAGTGCCACTGCAGCGTCGGACTCGCACCATGCGCTGACTTCTGAGAGGAGGACGACCCGCTGCTGTGAAAGGAGGAGCTCCAGGACCTGAGGAGAAAGGAGGACCCGACGAGGCGCTTCGCTTCGTAGATGGCCATCTGAGCACTCGGCCCGCTCGCGGTCTTGGGCGCTAAGCTCGTGAACAGACCTTTCGCTGGGCACGATACCAGCGAGCGCTCTGCAAGCTGAATGCATTCTCAGGCCCAGGACACTGATGCCAGAGGTGGGCTGGAACCTCCCGGCACATTCGCATCCTGCAGTGATGCTGTAGGCATGCCAAAGCCGTGAAAGCTGTCGACCGCCGTCGGTCGTCCTTCCCCTCCGCCTGCATCTGCGTCCTTGGGACCGCGGCCACTTGTTCTCCGGACACATGCTTTTTTGTGCCAAGGAAAGTCGGATGAGAGCGCTGCCGCAGGATTTCTGCCTGCGAAATCTCCCACATCATTTCGTGCGTAAACACTCTATAGATGCCCCACCGCAAGTCCCTCAAGACGTGATGACGACGATGCCTTCACATCATCCAAGCTTTGTCGGAGCAGGACTTCCAGCTCCGTTCTTTGCTGCAACATGTCAGCCTGGCTCGGGCAGCAGACACTTGCATCGTCCAGAGTCTATGTCTATTGCTTCCCTGTCCCTTCTCTTCGCCGCCTGTTGCTGCTTCAGCGCCACGACAGTTCGCCGCTCCTCGGATTGACAATCGTGCAGGGGGGCCAAGCTGAGTGGCAAATGTGGTCTCACGACGGGGCAAAGGTGCACAGGACTAACATCTTTGTGGCTGCGTGCTGTTGTATCCCCGGTGCAGCACGGACGTGCTGAGGTGCTGACAGCATCCACCATTCGCTTCAGCTTTAGAGCTGCCTCTCGCAAAGCTACCTGCCAAGTCGCGACGGCCATGTCTCGTTCCAGCCTCTTTTTCGCCTGCATCCAGCCTCCCTTTCGTACTGCTTGTTATGCCTCGACAGAAACAGCTGATCGGACGTCCAGGTCAGCTACTTTGTGAATTTGTTCAGGCCAGGGCGTTTGCTGAAGCCTTGCTTGATCTATCTGTTTTTGAGAGAAGCTCCGCCTGCAGGACAACAACTCGACACCATGGTGCAAGATGCGAATTTACTGTCGCTAACATGGCATGTCACGCAATGTCGAGTCTGTGTTCGATGCGTAGCTAAGGGTCTAGGAAGCTCGAAGCCTAGACAGACCCCAGGTCAGCACCTGTTGGCTTTGGGCTCTGCCTCCTTGGCTTCAGGCACTTCGGCCTCGGCGCAGGGGCGTGGCTGGTCGTGATGTGCATGATGCAGGCTCCAACTGGTTCAGGATCTCTTCGAGTTAACAGTCTCGGTGGATCAGCACGAAACTGAGCCAAACCACGCTCGGCTGTTGTTAGACAAAAATGGGAAGCCTATGTATGTTTCCAGGCCTCTGGGAAAACATGAGCCCTCCTGGACGTCTGCTGACGGATTCATGCAACATGAGCCTCCGGAGCCACTTGGGTCCTGGCAGGTTTCGCACCAGAAGCCTGCTGCGACTTCAGTGCTTGGACTTCCTTCCTGATCGATTCGAGAGCCGCTGCGTTCACCACGTCACTACGTACGTGTGTGTCACCGTCCGCTCCTGGAAAGGACGAGTTCGCGCAGCAGTGCTTTGCGGTCGTCCTCACGCGTCCTCAGCTTTTCCTGCAGCCTCGGGCACCAAGCTTCGGAAACAGTTTGGACTCCGCACGGCGAGGGCGAGGGCGGGGCTTCGCATTTTCCGCTGTAAGCTGCTGGTTCTTCTTGTCGAAGGTCTGAGCTAACTCCTGGTGTTGAAGTCTCATCCCTAAACATGTCGCTAAATGTCATGTTGCATACTCTCCTGCGTTTTGTGCAACTCGGCAACCTTACCAACGAAGCGCCGGCAGCAAGAACTGCGAGGGGCCGGAACACGACGAGGCCAGGACCACCCTTCGATGGTGTGCCTGCTGCCTCAAGGTCACGGTTCATTAGTTCATTATGATGCACAGACGATCACGATCCTCACGGAAATTTGCTGACACTTCGTCCCTTCGTCTCTGCACCGGCCAGGGGGCTCGGTGGAGTGCTCGCCTTTTCTGCTGCGCTGCGCCTCCAAGTCCTCAAAGGGCGCGCTATCTCCGACGCCCCACGCGTCCGAGCTCAGAAACGAAGGATCTGAGCTTTCTGGTTGACCCCGGGACGTCGTCGTGGCCACAAATATCCAAACAACCCTAAAAGAGGTTGGAGAAGAGTGGGGCGGATTGAGGATCTACTAGTTGGATATCTGGGCTGGGGCGTCAGGGCGGGTTGGGTTGTCATGCCTGTGACGGGGTTTAATAATCGAGGCGTTGGTGTAGGATGGTGGATGGATGTGCTGTCGCATGCCCTCTGCCTCTGTCCATCTCTACATGCGCTCGTTTCTGGCCTTGGAGACCTCCTGCAGCCTTGCTCTGAAGGCGCGCATCAAGTCCTTCTCCTGGTCCTGGCAACGCACACAGCATCCACACCTGCCTGCGAAGTCGGATCAAAGCCTGGAGGATCTTTGCCGTATTGGTTTGGATGCACTCCAGCCCGGTGATGACCTGAAGCCAAGCTTTAAAAAAGGACCCGATGATCGCTTGTTTTGCTCCGATTCCGCGACTTCCTCTCGAGGCTCGGACGCTTCTATGCATGTTGCCAATGGCTTCCATCCGCTTACCTTGACAAGCAGAATGGATTCACGAGGCCATACAAGAATAACAGCATACCTCCTCGAGTTAGAGTGACTTTCGGCTGAATCGTTGGAAGCGCACTGCGGCAATTTGTGATGTCGGCGAACGCATAGCACTCCATTTGCCAAGATGCTGTGCTCGTCATTCTCCGCACCCTCGAGCAGTCGCTTCTCCAACGCTTCTATCTTGTTCCTGAGCCACGGGAAGGCAATAGTCCGGTCCGGTGGCCCATGTTCTGGGATGGACAGGAAACTCTAGCAACGCGGTTGCTGTTGTTGTTGCATCCAAGCTTTCACTCCTTCTGCTTCACGGTCGGAGATCAACCCCAAGACTCTCGTAGCGTAGCGATAGAGGTCATATTGTTTTCGGGGTATATGTTCTGTCCCTGCTGGTACATGGGCTTCGATTTGTCGAGATCACCATTGTTTGTGTTGGTGTCTCTCTCCCGCAATGCCCAATTCGCAACAAATACTGTTCAAGGTAAAACGTACTGATAGTAGCACTTGCCGCCCTGTTCCCGCACACGACATAGATTGACATTTCTACCACGAATGACGGGACCAATGCATTGCGAGAAGAGCGAAGCTACGAGTACATGCTTGCTGCTGCTGCTGCTGCTGCTGCTGCTGCCGCTGCTGCTTCGAACACCAGCAACACGACGACTACCGATTTTGCAACACTTGGTGCGAGCCGACAAAGCACGTCACGTCTGTAGCAACGAAACCGACCGAGGGCCCGGGGCCTGTGCACTTAAAAAAGTCGGAGTGCCCACGACTGCATATGTACTGCATCTTCGCATGGCCGCACACCTCGGGAGCCGTGGCTCGGGTGGAGCTCATTCGGCACTCACCGGTTTCTCGCCACTTTGGTCCAACGGGTGATGCTCCACTATACCACCAGAGAGTCTTCAACCCAGTAGCATACCAATCTTTGATCGAAACCAACAGAAACACCCCTGGAAGAAGGAATGCAAGAGGTGCTGAATGCAGCCGGATCACATAGTCGCCTTCTCACGCTTGACCTGGCAAGCACGACGCTCCGCTTCGGACCTCTTAAAAGGCTGCGACTCCGCACCACAACTTCGAGCAAACATGGCGGGGATGGCGAAGGATGCAACTCGGTGCTTGTACCTTGCAAGCGTTTAAGCCCCAAAGTTCACCGTCTGCGACGGTAGAAGGCTTGCTGAGAGACACGCTGATCCTCCAGCGTTCGATTCTTGTTCTTCTCCTCATTCAACTGCTTCTGAAGCTCCTGGCAAAGCATTTCATGCAGACTGCAGCTACCGAGCTGTTGCGAGCTGTCCTTACGATTTCACGGTGTGCAACCGATGTTTTTCCATCGCTGAGGTACAAAAAGAGATCAGCTGTGGAAAATCATCTGGAAAATCATGCTCTGCATGTGCAGACAGCAATGGCGCGACCGGTGAACAGATTGGCATAAGCTCAGACGCGCAACACCGCGCAACATTACGCGCTTATTGTGATGAGCTGCCCCGGAGTCATGCCTTCGGTAACTACAACCTCCAGCGTGTCCTGAGCTGCAGACCATCACAAGCCATGCACCAAGTGGGAACACCACAAACCTCATGCTCGTCGTCGTCTCCAGCCAAGCGTCGCCCCAAGGCGCCTTGGCCTGAATCCGGGCTCCAGGCTCCACACCCTCCGGGATTTGCACCTGGCCCGGCTTGCCATACCGAAAGGATTCCGCAACCAGTGCTGCATCATGTAAAGCTTTGTGTCCGTGTCTGCTGAGAGCATGGATGCTTTGCAGCATGTTGGCAGTAGGCAACACAGCAAGCAGGCTGAGCCGGGCGTTGGAATTGATGAGCCACCCTCGCACCTGCATCGTCCGAGGAGCTCCACCGGTACCAGGCATTGCCTGCCACAACAGCCGTGCAGGCAGCATCTGACCGTGAGAATGCTCTGCCATTTTTTGCAGGCTACATTTATCGTTGATTTGTTGGCAGGCTCCAAGTGAAGTGTGGCAATACTTTTACGTATCGCTCATAATGCAAACATGCCAAGCTTGCGTGTTGTGCAGGCGCATACGAGGAAGGTGCTGGCGTCGGCGTTTTGGGTGGAGGCGGTCCATCCTTGTACTCTCTGCGGTAGAAAGCCACGTACCTCGATACGACTCTGTCTTCAGGGCACCATACTGAGCGAACTGTAGCAGGGCACTCTGGATAGATGGAAGCTTCGTCGAAGACAATAAACTCCTGCAACGACGGCATGCGCAACCAGTTCTTGTCTGCTTTTCCCTTGCAGTTTAGAACTGGGTCTTTGTGCAAATTTGCAGCCGAGGGTCTCGAAACGTACCGACTGCTTTTTCACGATCCCCGACAACGCTGTCAAACTCACCAGAAGTACACTTTTCCTGAAACTCTATACACGGTGTGGGACGCAGTCAAATGGCTGAACAAAAGTGATCCAACAGACGGTGTCTGCGCCAACAAGCGAAGCTTCTGTGTAGTCTCCAGGCTTCTCCACAACCTCAAGTGCTCTTCTTGCCAGTCTACAACAAGGCAAGCTCCATCGTACAGACACCCAAGAAACTATTGCAGGTGAAGAACATACGAGCTTCCAACAACGACCCTGCAAAGCAGCACTGCGAAGAGGCCGTCATAGGCACCACCCGTGTTTTCGTCTCGCGCATATTCCTTGTGGGACGGAAACCATCTCAACGCTGCAGTAGCTATCTATTCGATTTTGAAACACGACAGACCCAATTGACAAAAGGAAGCTGGCCTTCTACAGCAGCGTTTCTCAAAAAGTAACACGTGATAGCAAGTGGTTCTCTGCCCATTGTTTTTAAGCTTCACACCGCTCAAAAGTTAAAGAACAACAGAGTCAACGCCGTGGGGTTCTGCTAAGTTGCGTCCGACTTCGCAGAAGACTCCGCCAGGTACACCTGGCAGGCATGGCAAGGCAGCGCTTTGCACCGGGCGCTGTCCCAAGGACAAGCCGGGCAGACGCCAGGACCAAACATCGTCCCAACAGCTGCACCGGCAAAATCAACTTTGAAAGAAGTGCTCAAGATCGAAATGGCGGAAGTGGGGTTCGACCCGTGGAAAAGATACGCCTCACAGGGCAGGGAACAATAGGGAACACCTCAGAAGGCCGGCTTGCTCAGTGCAAGGCCTCGTTGGTTGGGTTGCCAAGGCGCGGATGTGTGCACCTGGAAGCGCCGGACTGCAGTTCTGCCAGGAATTGGTTGAAGCATCTCTTCCTCAGCTGGCCTCTCTTGAAAGGCGCTGCAAGCTTTCATCGTCTTCGGCTCCACAATCTCAACAGTACTTCGCTTCTTGATGTCCGAGGCCACCTCGGCGTAGTGAGAAGTAGACGAGGTAAGATAGCAATCCTTAAATCCGCCGAGGCCACAGGCCCAGGCGTCTTGGGGGTTAGCTCAGGTTCCCTCCACCTAATCCTCCTCCCTGCCAAGTGTTTGGGGACACCCGCTTTTTGCGTTCGTTTGCCACCCCCTTGCCCGGCTTCCCCTCATTTTACCTGATTTGTCGGCCTCCCCCCTCCCACTCCCAGGCCTCCCCCCCTGTGCCGATACACCCCCAAGGGATACTCCTTGTGAGGAGGTGTATGACCAGTTATTCCCTAAGGATCAAAGGGCAGCGCCCTGCACACGGACAGTAGTTGTTTTGTCTTGCTACGCAAGGAGAGCTTGTCTTGTCTCAATATGGTAAAACCACTGTGAGCCAATGGGCAGCGGAATGTATATGTATGAGCATGCAGCCATTGCTGTAGGTACCTGTTAGAGCTACCCCTTTAGAGGTTTATGGTTTCAAACAGACACTAATTTTCTTTTACCGGAAGCATGGCCGCACATTCACACATATACTATTATGCCCACTGTCACAGTTGCGGAGTTTGGACTCATGATAAAAACAGCATATTATTTATGCTAGGTATAGCACTGAAGTACACTGCTGAGGACACTCCACTCATTTTGCACACACACTCATGCATGTTGGTCAGAGAGATCATCTGTACAAGATCATGTCTGGTGATGTTTTCTACATCGAATTATGCAGCCTTTCACTTTGCTCTTGTTAGAGCTTTGTGAGTCACTGTTGTGAAACTCTGAGATTCTCTTATCTCAGATTTGGATCCAGGTTTGGATCATAGGCTCGAGCGTAGACGTTCGGATGTGGCTCATCCGGGTCTGAGTGGTCTTCTTCGGAACTTGAAAAGATTCCGAGTAATCTGTTCTCAGCCCTGGTGAAGGCGGCGTCTGCAGTATCATATCCATGGTTGGATGTTGTCGCCTTTGGCTCGGCCTTTGGAGCAGCTTGTGAGCTGGCTGGAGTTGCCTTGGCTTTTGCCGGTTGCGGCTGCTTAGCCTTTGCCCGTTCAGCCCTTCTTCTTTCAAGCTGTCCGTCTGAGGACGCCCATGATCTTTCACTTTCATCTCCTGAAGGAGATAAGGCGTGGGCATAAAGGCTATTCCAGTACTGTGGTGCAGAAGGAGTTAGGACTTCTTCATTGTCAGATTCTGACTGGTCTTCCTCAGAGCTTTGGTCGTCAAAGAGTGTCTCGAGGACATTTTTGAGATTGTTATTTCTTCGCTCTATCTCTAGTGAGGAATGGACCAATTGGTTAAAGACTGTCCTTGAGTCCTTCAGTGCTGTTAGAAGGATTTCCACTCTGGATAGAGTATCTTGGATGGTGTCAAGATGTTCCTTCCTTTCCTCCTTGTCTCTCTGGATAGAGCTTCGCAATGATTGTGCGATTCTGAGGAGGTCTGTGTATTTCGCAAGAGGCATAGTTACCGTTTGATTGTCATGTATGACAGTTGTTTCGTCGCCGCTTAAGTTCCTGAATAGGACTTCCACGACTGGTAGGAACTCCGTGCTCCACGGTTCCTCTTCATCATATGTTTCTACGTGCTGTAGCACGCGTTGTGTAAACTGGCCGGCTGCTTCTACCGTTGCATCGATAGAGCTGACGTGTCTTGCTGCCATGTTTCGGCACGTAACGTTAATTGCCTGGCCTTGATTGGCTTCGTTAAGTGCAGCGTCTGCATAGGTGCAGAGTCCACTGTTGTGGGCTTCTCTAGCTGCCTTTCGTTGAATGCGCCGATTTTGACCTCCTCTTCTGGTAGGACCTTTTGGTCTTGGAGGATCAGAAGGTACTGTTCCTTTCGCCTTTGGCGGAGGACTCTTAGGTGGAGGTGATATGTTTGCCTTGTTAGGCCCTGGTGGCATTGCCTTGGGCGCTGATGACGATGCGGCACTTGAGAGTGCAGATGTACCTCTGGCCTTTGCCGAGGATCCCTTGGGGATCGATGTATAGGTAATCTGCATGGCTTCTTCGGCCATTTGTGCATGCAAGGCATCTTTGAATAATTGTGTCATATGAGGAGTGTTACTTGCATCATCGTAGGTCTGGAAGCGCTCAATGTCTCTTTCGGTGCCACGTGGTCGTGTATCACCTCTTTGGAAAGGATCGTTCCTGCGAATCTCCGCAACTTGTACTGCATGGAGGCAGTTTTTGCACAGCACCTTCTTGCAAACATCTCTTGCTTGCTTGAGCTGGTAACAGCTGTCTGAGAGATGGTAGACTTCGCTTCGGGAAGTATGCCAGATAGGTCGCAGATCAGTTGTTTCTCCGGAATTGACCCTGTTGGGTCCTAAAGGTTCACGCGTCTGCGGTTCATCCTCGGGTTCGAGGAATGGAACTCTTTGGTTCGCTGCTGCTTTTGATTTTGGTTGTTGGCGCTCCATACATCTGATAGGAGGCCTGGTAATCTGCTTCCACATCCAGTGTAAGCCCATTAGCAGCAGGAACACATTCCACGCGATGCTGAAAACGGAGAAGTCCTGCTCACTGGTTAGTGAGTTTGGAAGTGAAGTTTCATCAGTCTTGGTAGACTCTGCGTTCGCTCCACCTCGGTTGCGGTGTCCGAACCAGCCCGACAACCCCGCTGCTGTAGCAGCTGTTCTGAGTGCCTTGCCGCTCGGAGCAGACGGTGGACGCGATGCCTTCCTTCTTCTCCTCCGGCTGGAGGATTCGTCCTCTTGTTCCTCTTCATCTCTCTGAGCAGACATCAAGTTTGATGTTTCTCTTTCGTGTTCTTCGATGTCACTTTTTGTTGGTGACGGTTCTTCTTCTAGTCCATCCAGCTCTTCCAAAGACATGTTGAGCTTGTCAACAATATTGGTTCTTTGAGGCCTGGACCTTGATCTTGGTAGATCTTGTTGTGAAGAGGACGATGATTCCTGGTTCCTTCTTGGAGGAGGACCTTCAGGCTCGCTGGGACGTTCAGGCTGTGGCCACTCCCAGAATCTTCCATATCTGTGATGGCTACCTGATGGTTGCGATTTGTCGTACCAGCTGTTGCCGGATGAGTAAACGAATGAATCGTTGTAACCCCAGTATTCAGCATTACGCTGCTTGTAAGCCTTTCGCTTGTCAGCGATCTTTTGGACCTGGGCATCTGACCGGTTGTGTTTCCCTTTTGTAAGGATTGGTTGAATCGTGAAGCCCAAAGGGCTGTGCCAATCTTTGTCAGAGGGACTCAACCATAGGTCAAGGTTAGAAAAAGTTGAATAGTACTGCTTGACTGAGACAAACAGACGGATATCAATATCCCTGTTGTTGTTCGTGTCCTGCCACATATCTGAGATTCGTTCCCAGTATGTTCTTTCAGCGGCAGGTGTGACCTCTCTTGGACTAGGTGACGCCGTGTGCGGCGTTTTACTCCAGTCAAGGATATAACTGTTGATACAGTCAAGGTCAGCAACTTTCTTCGCCGGGTCCGCCGGTAGACGATCTGCACGTGCCAGTCTGTGCTGGTCGGAGTTGTTCAAGCAAAGATGTCGCACTTGTGAGTGCCTTCCTGCTATTTTGTTGAATGCTGCAAGTTTCTTCTCCAGGTATAGAGAAAACAAACTGTTTCGCGGGTGAACGTCTCCACCTTTTAAGGTGAGCCTCGACGCAATATTATTGAGATCTCCCGCTATTACATCCGGTTTAAAAGGGAGAATCTCGTTGAGGAACGCGTTCACCAGTTCGCGTCTCTGTTCTTCCTTATGAGTCATGAATGAGTTGAAATGGACGATCGCGATGGTGATGACCTTGTAAGGCCCTTTTGTACACCACATCTCGTCAAGATCGTTCGATGCTTCTTGTGAGAAGATCTCTGCGTATGACTCAAAGTCTTCCTCTGGTGGCTCATCACCCTCGACATGGCCGTTCCATTCACAGAGAATCGGCGAGGGGTCGAGGTTCGACAGTGTCAGGCACGCCTCTGGTGAGAGGTAAGAGCCATCAGTGGGTCCATCCTTGTCAGGATTTTTGCCCTTGAGTGGGTCATATCCGATAATCTGCATGAACTCGTCTCTCGTCATCCTTTGGCCAGAATATGGGTGGACCCATTCTTTTGCCTCTGGTATGGTACTGTGGTACCCAAAAGTGAGGCGGCATACCGCACCGTGGCATGCCCACAGTCGCTTCTTGGGACCACCATTCTTAGGTTTCATTGTTCGATGACGATAAAAGTGGTGGACGAGAGCGATGTCTGTTGTTGGGTCACCCTTGACTCCAATATACATCGAGGGTGCCTCAGGCTCCTTGGGAGGAGAGTGGATTAGCATCCCCCTGTATTCATGTTGTCGCATGGTTGCGATCGAATACTCTGACGCAAGTGCTCCTGCCTCGAGTACGAGGGTAATATGAGCTGAATTGTTGAAGCACATGTCAATAAGAGGGTGATAATCGAATCCCTTCTCAGGTTTGAGCTTCTTTTTGGGATTCCCTGCGGGCACCGGCGCTCGATCCATATTTCCCCAGTTGAATACCACTAGGTTTAGCGATACGCTGTCTGGGTTTGAGCCTTCAATGTATTCTCTCTTCTCGTTAACACCGGCCATCCTATTGCGAACTATCTCGTAATGTGCGTCGAGCACCAGTTTGTCTTCGTAGCCAGTAAGAGAGAGAAAAGAAGCCGGGTGGCTTGTTCTAGAGTCCTTGATATTGATGTGACTCTTGTTAATGCTCTTATATTCCTCCAGGGTTGGAGCCTCTGTGGAGCTGTCATACGTATTCGGAGGATTGTTCCTAATATCATCAAGGCTGCATGGATCAACGCCTGGATGGTCCTTTTCGAACAGACTTCTTGCGTGTTCGCAATACATGTTGATTTTCTGGACTGCCAAATCTACGTCCTCATGTGTGAGGATGGCCTCGTATAAAAACTGACGCTCTTCTGAGGTCATTCCTGCTCTCACTTTGGAGGTCTCAAGGCAATCGATTGGCAAGACGCACTCGCACATCCGTTGTTTACCCTGTGGGGTAAGTCGACAATCT